ATAATTATTTTGGAAATGATCCCTCCTATTTTCATTTTTCTTTTCAAAATAGTGTCTGTCCCCTGATGGCCTGTGATTAAATGAACCTCGTTGATCCATGTTTCTTCCTGATGGTCTGTGACTGTATGAGCTTCTTCGTTCTACATTCCTTTCTGCCTCGTTCCGTATAGATTCGTTTATTTCTATTGTATCTTCTCTACTTAATAGTTCCTCCATTTGATTTATTGAAACTATGTTTTGCACTCTAGAGGCCTGTTGAATTGTTTCATCAAAATGTCGAACAAGGCGACGAACTATTTCCCTCTCGGTGAGTTTTGGTGTCATATTTTGCAACAATATTACTCTGTCAATGAAATATTCTGTTCTTGTCAGTCCCCTCCTTGGTATGTATTTTTCTAAGTCTAATTTAGTTTTAATCCCATCTTGAATCTCCTCATTCCAATATTTGTTCATAAAATATTTTTCAAAGTCTTCAATATCGTGTACTGACAACCTAATTAGATCCCACCATCGTGCTGCAGTTCCTTCTAAGCATATATCTAAAATTTCTTCTAAATTTAGTGATTGTTCATCTTGTGAAAGCCTTCGTTCATTTTCCCTGTTATAATAGTTTTTCAGCCTGGAAAGGAATTGATTTGGGTTTTTTGATTTTCCATTGAATTTTGGTAAGTCTTTATGGTGCTAGGACATGTGATATGTAGGCCTACTGGTTTCCCACTATTCCCAGCTTTTAACTTTGCCTCAAATTCCTTATTGATTCTTTCCTGATTCTCTTGAATCATTGTGATTCTTTCCTCAATATGGTTGTGTATTTCTTCCCTTTGTGTTATTTTGTGTTATTTTTGTATCAAATTTGGATTCGATTTGTCTTATATAGATGGTCAGATCCTTCCGAACTTTTTATATTTCTTGTTTAGTTTGTTTAAATTGTGACAATACTTGTTCTTTAAACTCTTCAAGTGTCTGTAATATAGGCCTAATTATTGTTTGGTCCATGTTTGTGTGCTGTGTTCTACTGGGACTTGTTACGTTACTATGATTTAGATTGTCGCCAGACGCTAAATTTTGATTGTCGATACTGTATAAGTCATCTCCGGGATTGTCATTATTAGGACTTAATAATTCTTCCATATTGATTTCGTCTAATTGCCGGCTCATATTTAAGTGTGCTTCTTGTGCTCTAAGTGTAGGTGTTATATATTTTCGTAAATTATATCTCTGCATTAAAATAATCTATAGCCGTGATAAAATCAAGCCACCTAGTTGGGTGCCAATTTGTAACGTCTCAATGACTTAACTGAATTTCATTTAATTGTATTTATTTTATTTTGTATTTTTTTATCAAAGTTTCTCAGGGATGGGTTCTTTGCCACGTGACTGATTTTATCCTAACTGCAGAATGTGTGAAATGTGAGATATAATGTTAAGTTATACAGAGCCACTATGTGTAAGTGTTATTTGGTCGCAGCACTCTTAAAATAAGGTGCCAGACAACTACCAAATATGCATGCTTGTTTAGTGTTAAGCCGCAGCACCAGCGGTCAGCCGGGGCCTGACAAATGCTTTGTATGGAGTTAAATTGTTTAGTGCCACTACTTGTAAGTGTTATTTCGGTCGCAGCACTCTTTAAAAAGGTGTCAGACAACTACCGAATGTGCGTGAGTGTTGAGTGTTAAAGCCGCAGCACCATCAGCGGTCTGCCGGGGCCTGACAAATGCTTTGTGTGTAGGCCTATTCTAATTTCTACCCTACTTACTTATCTAATTCAAATTACCTTATTAATATTTCAAATAAGTACACAATTGGGACTGACCTTATTCCTTGTTTTTATTTTCTTTCACAAATACAAATTTGATTACAATTAATTATTTTTTTATTTGCGCCATTGCGCCTGGCAAATGGTTTACACCCGCAGCGCTGACTGTCAACTCGTGAAGTGGTGAAGACTGGCCCGTGGACTGCTGTATTTATACCCGACTAGTGTACATGTTGCTCGAATTCGAGCAATTGCAAAGTATTACAGGAGTTATTTCAAAACGAATTACAGTCATATCTACAATGAGTTTAAAAGAGTCAACTCAAAGATTACCGTTACCGGTGTGTAACTCAGACCATGTTTATCTTTGTTATTGATAAACCTAAAGCATTCCGGCCAGTTTTCTCCTTCTCAAAATGTCTTGCTGTACAGGCCATTGATAGAGGGCCAATTGAGAACGAAAGGTCATTTTGGGGTAGTGTTATGGCGCATTTGTAACCTAATAGTTGAGATTGTCCAGGGTCAGGTGCTGACTGTTCTGTATCTGCAGTCGTTATCACGATTACGCCTCCTGTCTGTTTCGTTGTCGTCGCGTCGGAGGCATTTAAAAGAAAAACAACAAATAAACAAATAAACAAATAAACAAAACAGCGACAAATGCACAAATTTAAGATACAACCATACTAACACAATCCGTCTTGGGGGTTATGTTTATACAAACTCAAATAGTAATTAAAATGTACTCAATGCGTTTCATTGAATTGAAAAATAAATAACAGCAGTTCAATTATACAGCTGATAAAAATGTAAACAATTATGTTCTCCATAAGGATAACATGGGAACTTTCAAAGCCACTGGGGCAGAGCCCAAGGGACTCTTTCAAAAATGTAAGGCCAGTTTGCAAATCTACGCGACACACTCTTTCCAATGAGACGTCAACGGATAAAATCGGTTAAGAAATGGCGAAGGAGTTCAACCGACAAAGTTTCATGTAGCGTATTAATTATATAGATTTGGTTGCTATGGTGACCATGGAATGTTCTAGAACTTTAAACCCAGATGTTTCCACCAAAAGTTATCTTCCTTTTCCGGCAGCCTGACGTCATCGCTGCCCGCTTGATCGTCGTTGATCCATCAGCTGCTGTCGGCTGGAGCTCGAGCTGTCAGAGAAGCTATTGTAGACTAATAAACAAACATTCAAACAAATGTAATAAATAAATATGTTTTAATTATTTAGTTAGTTGTTATATTTACATGTGAAATAAATCCCCCCCCTTGTGAATTAAATCCCTTTGTGTGTGAAATAAAATAGTAATGTGCATTTATAACTGTTATTGTGTTGCTGAAATATTTACAATGGATAACCTAACCTAAATACGGTAAGTGGGTAAGCTAACCTAGGTACGGTAAGTGGGTAGAAATATTCTTTATTACCACTATTTACAAAACAAACTATTAGAAACATTATTACATTAGTAATTTATAGAACATTAAGCATTATTTAAAACATGAAAGTGCGAAATAGGCCTACTCTTATTACAATTGATCTAACTAAAACCTAACCTAGCCTAGGCATAACATAGCCTAAATGGTTAAGTTAAATTGAAACATTACAATATACACGATGTTTATGTTGATGATTAATTTGATGCAAATCTGTGTTATAGGACTCTTATTAATGTTTGATAAAAACCACCCATTTTGGCTTACTTGCGCTGGAATTTTGAACATTTTGTACGTAGAGTAATTAAATATAAAGTCGATTTTGAAGTCTGAAGTTTTATTAAAATTCCTATACTGCTTTAAGTATTGATATAATTTTGTATTTCAAGTCATAAACAATATAGACGTTTGTCGGCCATATTTTCCAATTTGAGGAGTGTAGCTAACTGTTGTATGAAACAGAGATTACAGCTAATTTGTTATAGCAATCTGTGGTTGTATACAAAACTAACATTTTTGAACTTGGTACTAAAGTTCAGAGAGCTCATAAGCCCAGTACCTAATATGAATGATTGACTATTGTAGAATTTGGAACGTATAAATTCACAGTCACTCTTTCTCACAAACTTTTTAAAACTTCTTATATTAGTGGTTTTTAAGCTTCATCTCCTGTTTTAGGTATATCTTATCCCTTTTCCTTTCCTATAAATGATAAACATAACATAAAGTATAACACAATTTCAAAGTTTAAGCACCAACTCTCAGCCGTCAGGGCTGTGAGAGCCAAAATTGACCACTGCGCGGAGTTGGACATGTGTCGCGAGCACTGAGCTATAATTCTAACTGGAGGTAGCACTGAATTTCAACGATGCGTGTCGCCAGCCGCCATGTTTGCGTGAGGTGTGAGTTATAAAGAAGCCATGTTATTGGATGAAAAAACTCACTGCTATGCAAGCCTAGTTATAGAAGCCATGTTATTGGATGAAAAAACCTGCTGCTATACCAACCTAACAAAATCGGCGACACGCTTTTGACAGACTTCTGCCATGGCAGTGCTACCTCCAGTTATAATTTTAGCTCAGTGGTCGCGAGGGATCCAAATTCCAAAGTGACCACTGCGCGGAGTTGGACAGTCGGTTTTGACAGATTTCTGACCACTGCGCGGAGTTAGGATAAGCCCATACGGTTTGCTGCCATCGGCCTCGGTGTCAGTGGTATAGTGGATAGTGCTGGGCTGATAAATGGAAAGGGTCGGGTTGGGTTATGACATTTTAATTTTATAATTAAAACATTATAAAATTGAATTTGAGCCAATTATAGTTTTATTTTATGAACAGAACTATTCTTTTCGATCGAACCTTAATGTGATTTTTCATTATCAGCAAGTCTGGTTAGTTTGGTTAGGTTAATGACAGTTTAATTTCATAAAAAAATATGAAATGTAATTTGAGGCATTTATAATTTTATTTAATGAATAGAACTAATTAATTTTGATTAAACCTTCATTAATAGTCGATCAGAAGCCTCCAAATGACACTGTTGGCAAATGACACTTTTGTACTTCAAATTGGAACAGCTGTTAACTGTTGTAACCATAACCATAGACAAAAAGAATTACAAAACTTAATTTGAATGAATAAACTGAAAATAACAGTTACAGCTTTGTGATAAGCCAATACAACACACATCAGAAGTAACAGTTACCTCGGAAAATGCTCCAAGAGCTTTCTGTTCTGCTCATGCGCAAGCTGAGATTTCCGTGGGTACAGAACATCGAGTGTCCTCTGTCCACTCCCACTGTCCAGTGTCCAGTCCACTGCCACTCCAGTCCAGTCCCAGTCCCAGTAGTAGTCCAGTTAGTTAAAAATAAAAAGTTTGTTGTTTTGTTCTTGTTCTTGTTCTTGGTTCTTGTTTGGGTTAGGGTTTGCGTTTGCAGGTTTGAGGTTATCTGTTACTATACACTGTCATTGATCAATCGTCAATCGTCACTAATCGTAGTGTGAGTCAATCGATCAACCGATTTAACCTCTAATTCTGATTTATCTCACACTGAAATAATCAATCTATTGACTTCTATCGTTCTTGCCTGAAAATAAGCAGTTGAAAATGACTTTTGAAAATCAAGTAAGTGTTCTAACTTACTAGCCTAATAATAAGCTACACTAGGCCTACAACAATGCATGATTATCATGAATACGGTATGGGAATTTTTCTATTAACTTAAATAATAGCCTTTTTTGACTTGCCGGTTATTGTTTCCGACGCCCAATTGTCCCATCGAAATAATTAGGCCTATTGAAGGCTGACACAGGTGTAAATTTAATAAACCATTCATAAGTTACTTGGCTTAAAATACCTAAGTTACTTTGTATGGTCGCCATTTCATTAAAAAGTATTAAGTAAATTATTAAGTATTAAAGGACTCAACAAATGGAATGTGCAAGTTCTTATGTAGGCTAACAAACAAGGCATCAATGTTTTAACTTTTTTTCCTACAGTCACCCGACAAAGTGGGCTACTTGCACAGATTATAGTACAGAAAGCCTTACTTTGGTGCACAACAGTAGGCCCTAAGCCTATTCCAACTAAACATCACAAAACAGCGTGCATTTAGGCTATTATGCTTGTAATCCATGTACACTTAAAAATAAGTTGGCAACATTTAACTTAAGTTAAAGATACTACGACACAAGTGCAAACTGCCTTTGCTGCACTCCAGAAACATCCCACACTGGCCTACTCATGCGAAACATTTTTCTCGAGTGCAGCAAAATGCCACTTCGCCGAATAACTTTAAACTTAAGTTAGTTAGGCTACTTAAATAACTGGAAACATTTTTTGTGTTACCGTACCGTATGTGTCTGACAATGCCAATGCCAGCACTGCTGGCAAAGGGAATTATGAACAAAAATATTGGTTTTAAGTCTTTATTTAAAAATTTATTGTTTGTTTAAAATAACTTAATATAGGTAGGCCTAACTTTATGTTTGACCTAACTTAACTTAAGTTAAACTAATTTTAATTGATTTTTAAAATTTTAGTTTAACTTAACAATTGGGATATGTTATGTTTGATCAACATCATGGTAGCGAAGGCTTTGTATTATTTTTATTTGCTCTTTGTCATTAACTTAGTTTATATTTAACACTAATACCGAAACCCCGTTCTGACAGGCCCACGGGAATTTTTGAAAACACATGTTGGTAACACTGTTTACTTGGGAGATTCCATTCCCCCAATACCTTCCCCCCTTTTCCTTCCCTACCTATTGATTGTTTGTTCATTTTGCATGGGTGCCGTGACCTTGACAGGTTGTCTGTTCATAACATGTCCGTCTCAGAAGCCCAGCGTTAGTGTATTTTTTAAAGCGGGGTCTCACAGGCCGAGGGTTTTGGTTTGTGTATTTCTAAGTGGGGTCCATTCTTTTTCAAATGGGGTCTCACAGACCAGGTGTTTTGGTTAACGTCAGCCGGAGTAGGGTTTCGGTATTAGTGTTAACGTAGGTCTAAAAACGGGGTGACTTGATACCACTTTTGAAGTTTAAACCATTGTAACTTATGTTTGTAACTAAGCACATTAGAACTAATATTTTATATAGGCTACTTAAAAAAAACAGTCTTAGCTTATACTAACTATTTATAAAGTAGCCTAAAATATATTTACCATGGTTACAAGTGAAATAAAAATAAAATAATATTGCCGGTTCAAGTCACCCCTGCAAGTGGGGTCACTTGATAGCCTATGTGATTTCAATGTAATACAATATTAGGCTTATTAAAGGGGTGATTTGAGTCCATCTTTTTGTTTGGAATCTTTTGATATTTTCTACATATTTTTAGCAGTAATTATTACTGAAGTCAATATAATTATAAACCAAAACGCGGGTTTTGTTGGTAAAACTATAAAAAACATCTGCAAAAAAAATATTGGACAAAAAACAGCACTACTTACCTTAACATAAACTAGAAGAGTGGTGTGTTCAAACAAAATAATAAAAAAATTTAATTACTTATTTTAATTTTTTTCTTCTTAGTGAAATGTCGCAATTTTTCACGTCTTCGCAGTTATAAGTTTCTTGAAAAAGTGTTCCAAATTTAAAATATGTTTCTTTCTCTAAAATTCAAGAACTGTCAGCTTTAAAGTAGGCCTATATACTATTTACAGGGCTTCTTAAACACATTTATTCATTGATTTTGTCCTTCAGCCTCCATTTTTTCATCTCGCGGACTGCGAACGTTCCCCTCGCGTTAATGGGTAATGGAGGTGTAATTGGTTCTCCTATATCACATTTGTTATAGGTACCAGCAGACATCTGGATTGGTAGGCCATTTAAAAAGGTTTCCAACAGTGAACTTTCCGGTCTTCTTAGTATGCCTTCCACGTACAAGCTGTTTTCCATTTCCAGAATATTTTGACTTTGCCACTTCTTCTTCAGCTGATTCTTTTTGTTCACAAGGGTTTCTGGTAAGTTCATCATGTTCATTCGTTTTAGGGTCATCAGGATCAGACCCAAGGTCACTGAATGATTCTCCTTCAAACTCACTATATAGAGGGAAATTTCACTATCACTTTTTTCATCTGAGTGAACTACATTTTTAGATCTTTTATTTCCTCTTGTACTGCTGCTTTTCTTTACTGACTTTTCTGTTGTTAAAGGTCCACAACTATCTCCTGGTTCTTCTTGCACGAAGTCATATGCCGTTACACTTCTCCCCGGCAACATTTACCTTCTTCCTCCCTTTCTTCTCATTGACACTTTCTCCATATCTCATACTGGTACTTTACAGAAAGTGACAGCACGGAGTCACTTAGCCTAACAGCTACATCATCAACATTCTTGGCTCTTTCCCTGTGTTCTCTTGGCAATCTTGCTAAAACCTCTTTTCTCTCAAGAGGATATATGTCTGCTTTCCAAAATCCAATCTGAATACATTTTGATGTTGTCTGTTCCAACTGACACACTAGTTTCTTCAGCAATTTAGGGAATTCAGTTTTTGGTACGGTTAGGCCTAAGCATTTTGTTTGTAATTTGAACTGTAAAAGAATATCACGCCAACTAACATCCTTTCATAGGTCTGAAGTAAGCAAGGTCGAGTGGCTGAGTGAGGTGGCTGGAGTTAGGGGGAAGACTTATAAACTTTATACTATTTGCTTGGCATTCTTTTATCTGTCTTCATTTAAGTGGCTTGATAGATTGTCCCCTCCTTTGTACCGTCTAATTTGTTGAGTTTAGGTAATACCAGAGTATGAAACCAATCATCAAATGAGCTTCCGTCGAACCACCCTGACAGAGTTCTATTGTAGCTGCATCCTGAGGGCCCTCCAATAGTCCATGTGTTCCATAGCTCTTTTGATTTATAGACTACATAAGGCAGGTAGCCAGCAGCACTTGCACACATCATAATATACACAGAAGACTTGAGGAATTAAAAACCCTCTCTGGGTACTTTACACCCCTCTTTGTGATAACTTTCTTCTGGCCGGGGTCATCGGTCAAATTTTGTCTTGTCGTAATTAAAAACCCTTTCTGGTGGTACATCCTTAACCTCTTCAGCCAAAAAATCTAAATACTCATTTATTATTTCTGGAGACACTTTTGGCTCTTTGTTTTTTTATATTTAAAGCCAAACGCTCTGTTAAGTCTGGGTGTCAGAGACATGAAGCCCTTAAACCAATCGGAACCTGGTGGATTATTTTAAAATTTGGAATTCATCCCATGTCGGTCTAGATGTCCTTTTACAAGAGACCTGATATCAAAACTGTCTGGGACAAAACCAAAAGAAGAACAAGTCTTAGGCACTAACATGCTCGGCAAGTACATGGGTGTCACTGCGTCCAAAATTTTGGCTGTCCTAACGTCTTTGAATGTAGTCCTTTAAATTTTTGAATTAGAGTTGCACGAGGTATGTGATACTGTTCAGCAGCTTGTCTTTGAGTTAGTTTGCCACTCTTTATGTCCTGTAATGCTTTATTCAATGTCTCTTCAGAATAGTCCAGATAGGAACAAGCACCAGGTTAAATCATTAATTATTCCGTGGCATTTAAACTTAAATCACACAGTCACTAATAACACATATTTCTATGCATCAACAGACCATTCACGTGGTATCAAGTCACCCCAACTACAGGAAAATTATGTTGACTTTTGATAAGATGAGGTTCATCGGTTCATGACAATCCTATCATAGATAACAGATAAAACTATGCTGATACCTAATGCAATTTAAGAAGTTGTTGAAAAAAAGAGAAAAAACTCCACAGGTTTCACTGGGCCATTGTTCTAATAAAAAATATATTATTCGGGTTAAAATTTGCGGGATACTTTTTGCTTTACACTTTTTTTTCAACATTCAATTTTGTTTCAATTGAAGATATATTATTATACCATATTTAAGCTAAGGTATTAGCTTCAGTATCTAATAGTCGATGGTATTAGGCTTCAAAAAAAGTTTTAAGTGTATACAAGTAATTTATTAGCAGTTAAAAAAAGTATTCCTTCCAGGGCTAAATTAAATGAAGGGCTGGAGCTTAATTATTTTTTGCCATAAATTAAAAACTACAGTGGTTGTGTATTTATTTCATTTGAAATAATTCATGGATCACAAAAAAAATTTGCCTTAGGGCTGAACTAATTTTTGTACAAAAGTTATAAAGAAAATAAAATTTGATATATATCCGTTTTTGGCCCACAAACAACATTAGGTGGACGGATATATCCGTCTGCCGCCCTCAGTGATAATCACAAAATATGAACACTGCCAATAATCTTGAGTATTCTTGTGGGCGGCAGACAGATATCCGTCAACCTTAGGCTATTCCTTCCCTTGTTTTATTTTTTATCCATAAAAATGTATCTATCATTCTGAAGTAAATCTAAACCACTCAGTTCCGCTCCCATGTCCCCAATCCCATTCCCCACCAAGACTTCCACTAAGTAAAGACTGTTGTTCTTCAGGTTCATCATATCCATCACATTCCATACCATTATTTTCACTGCCAAGTATAAAACCCCCCTCAGACATACTTTTATTAAGCATCTCAATAACATCTTCAAATTTCAGATCGTTTGCATTAGTAACTTTAGCTAAATAACATAAAAATAAAGTACAAAACACAAAATGTAAACATCACTCACAAACAACCATTTGTGAAGTGACAGCAATATTTACTTACGCACACTCTATGTTGGGAAATAGCCGAACCAGCTGCGGCAATTATTATTGCCAACCACAAAAACAAAATAACCCATTTATAATGCAGTACCGTATTATAAACATTGTCCATCAATTCGTTTTTTTGGACGGATATATTCGTCTTAAGCCCAGAAAATAAATTTCTCGGGACGGATAGATCCGTTTTCGGCCCGGAAAGTAAACATAGATTGACGGATATCCATCCATAGCCCTGGAAGGGTTAAAACCTTTTTTAGCTTTTGGTTTCAAGTCACCCCACAGCACAGGCCTCAAGTTACCCATTTTTACTACTTATTGATTAAAAAAATAGGTAGAGTTTTCAAGTAAATATACTTTTTAAGTTAAGTCCGTGTACCTTTTAAAAATGAAACCTTAAGTTATAGCCAAATTATTATTTGCACACAACGTATTAGTACAATGTCCCACATGTCATGTACATCATACTAAAGTAGGCTAACTTAATAAGTTGTTATGATTACCTAAATTATAGTAGGTAGAGATAACTTATTACTAAAAAAACTAAGCTAGGTAAGTTGGTTATTAATTTAATTCTGTTTAAACTCCGTACCAAGGATGGCTACTCTTTATAATTGTATTTTAGTAAGTTAGTAGGCCTACATTGTAAATGATAAATGAAATGATTTTATTAGCCATTCGGTACAAATAATACAATAGGCATTGTCATTCTTAAAAAACAGAAAAACAAGTCCAATCTTGACTAACATGCACCAATCTAGGTGTAGCTTAAGTATATTGAAAATTTTTACATTGAAAAATTGTTTTTTAACCCTTTAAGTTACATAGCAGGAAGTTAGTTAAGTTTAAAACTCTAGTAGGTCCTAAATGATTACCAAATTTTTTAGTAAATACTAAAAAACTAAGTACGTAACGTACTAAACTAAGCACCAAACTAAGCGTGCTAAACTAAGTACGTAAGTAGGCCTACTAAGTTTTTAGTAAATTTGTAGAAGAAACCTAACTTTAAATTTTACTTGGTCTTTTATTCCCCCACTCAAAATACCTTTTAACTGCTCGACTTGCTGCCATCACACAAAGTAAACACAATAAATTAATATAGCCTACATGGGTTGTTTTTAGATCATTACTTGCCGAGCTGCTGTTGCATGGGAAGAAAAAAAACCTCTTTCTATTGAGACCATAGAAGTAGCTCCTCCTAAACAAGGTGAAGTTCGCATAAAAATTATCTCTACTGCCCTCTGTCACACCGATGCTTATACACTTGATGGCCTCGACCCGGAGGGCAAATTTCCTTGTGTTCTTGGACATGAAGGCGGTGGTGTTGTCGAAAGTGTTGGAGAAGGAGTAACTAGCTTCAAACCAGGTTCGAAACAATCACTTTCTCTCCTGGAAATACAGAAGCCTAGTCTACATTTCATGTACAGTTGAACCTCTATAAGACGAATTTCAAGGGGTACGGGAAAAATTCGTACTATAGAGGTATTCTTAATAAAGAGGGTCGTTTTATCGAGGTTTAATGCTGCTGTTATTCTTCTTATAGAGGTTTCTCCTCGCTCCAAGGTTTTTCAAACAATGACTGAGGAAGGAGGAGGGATAAGTGGGGGTTTCTTGTTGAGACAAGCTTCTGTTTGTTTTGAAAACTACGTAGTATGGAGGTTAAAATTATGATAAATTCGTCTTATAGAGGTCACGTTCGTCTTGTAGAGGTTAATCAGTCCTAGCCCATGTCACAAACAAATTCGTCTTATGGAGGTTTTTAACTTAATTACTACGTTGTATAGAGGTGCTTTTAGCATTGACCTATATGAAAGTGTCAAGGGGATTTAAAAAAATTCGTCTTATCGAGGAATTCGTTTTATCGAGGTTCGTACAAACGAGGTTCAACTGTATTAAAATAGATCGCTTGTCTTGGTTGTTGATGGATTGTTTTGTTTATTGCCAAGTCCTGTTTTAGAAATATTTAAACAATAAGTTAATTAATTTGTATCAAGGGAATATATTTTAGTAATAATAAATCAGTGATTTTTAGTATCATTTAGACCCTTCATGTGTATAGTAGTCCATATAAAATGTCTATTAAATTCTATTCATATGCTGTAATGCCACTCTCACAAAGGCCAGTTTTATATTAATAAAGAGAAGAATCAAGTATTTGTTATTATTTAAAGAAACAAGTCACAACAACTGGTATGGTAGTCCTACTTAATTGCCTCAGCCATCCAGTCACTAGTCAGTAATATATGTTTAGCCCTGCTACTCATTTTAACATTAGCTACCTTTTTCTTGTGAGATTTGAAGTTACTTGTATGTATATGTAAGATATTTCAAGTATTTTTATGAGGTAGGCTAATATCTTACTCATTCATGTATGTTGCAGGTGACCATGTCATTCCTTTGTACATTCCACAGTGTGGTGACTGCAAATTCTGCAACTCACCCAAAACTAACTTGTGTAGCAAGATTAGGCTCACTCAGGTAACTTATATACATCTTTGGAGTACCGTAGCCTATATTAAACCTAACTAGAGAAGCCGTGCGAGCCGCATAGTATGAAACATAACGTTGAGGAAAACGTTATGCTTAAATTCAAATAATTCTAGTTACATCTTAGAGTTGTTTAAACACTTGTTAGAAACTAATTTTAAATATCTCTATTGCCTACATTATTTCTGCTCTCAGTTTTAACTGATAACTTCTAATGAGTGCTAAACGATCTGCCTCAATTCGAGTGAACATGTTGCAACAAAGTTTTTCCGGCATTGAGAATTGAAGAAAACTGTTGCCTTACTTATAACCTGTGTTAAATAATTTAAATTGGGTCATTTTATTTCTTTGATTTGAGACATCCCCCTACTCAAACAAATTTTCTCCGTAGAGAATCCTAAAAAGTGGGGTGATATCAACCATTTTCATGTGCTCCATATTTTTCTTTCTGCAAACTCTGGGTTACCAACTGGACAGCCATAATCTGCATTGAATAGGCTAAAGCAGCAACACCATTGAAAGTTGGTTATTGTATTTTAACGTGTTGTCAGTCAGTCACAGTATATGCCTCGCATCAGAACGTTCTCACGTTGTTCAGTGGAGTTTTTCTAAATACCTGTCCCAAAGTTTTGAAAGTATGGATTCATTTGTCGAAATAGGTTGGATAACTCTCGTAGCTCTAAGATTTGGATAGCAATGTTCACTTTCCTTTTTAAACAGTGTATATTATTTGCCTCTCCTGAATCCTGAAAATAAACTTGACCGTAACTACTCGATCGTTGAATACATAAACACTAATTCCTTCACTTATGTTTAATCTAATATTGCCACTAAAACTTTCAATAGTTTTTGAAACTTCTTATTTTGGACTTAAAATGTCTGGATTGTGTTGGTGAATTCAGTCAAAAAAATTTGTATAAGTTTGTCCGAGGAACTGGCAACATAACCTAGAAGTAAACAATCTATTTGCGTTTTTTCTCTATTGAAGTAGAGCGAGTAATACAAAAGTTTACAATAAAAACATAAGGTCCGCCAGAATTTGGTATAATCTTACTACTTGAACTTATCATAGTCAAGGCATTAATATAGTTTGTACTAAATGTTTTGAAATATATCGATCTGTCAGTGTCAGAAGTAAAAATTCCTTGCATGCATTCATTTGATCTGGCAAGTTTACTTTACCACCGTGACAGCACTATGTGCTTCGTATATTTTATCACTTCCAAAGTAAGTTGCATAGCAGAACTGGTAAATATTATTCATCTCACCAAGTAAATTTGTATCTGGATGGGTATCTGTTAGACCAGACCTTTCTTTTTCTACTCACCTCATAGGCATAAGTTATCTTACTATTGATTGTCTCCTCCTCCCGTTTTCAATATTTCTTCTTTGAACTTGAGGCATTTTCTGTTCTTCCAACAAAATTGATTAACTGTTTAACCTGTTCTTAACCTACTGAATATTACAAACAATAATATTTACTTCCAAAAAGCTAATGAGTTTCTTTTTATGAACAGCTGTTTTTTGTTTTTAAATTTGTTCTATGTATTTCTTATGGGGAAACCCGACCTTTGAAAGGGTCTCACGCCCATAAGAGTAGAGATTTTAAAATTCTAAAACCTTATTGCAAAACTACATATTGAGACAAATCTTTTGACACCTTAAACATTGAAATTGGTCTACAAATAAGGGAGGATTTGCGTTAACAAAAAACGGCTTAACGTATTATATATATAGACTAGCTGACCCGGCGAACTTCATATCGCCTAAGTTATAGGTTTCCCCTAAGACAGACCGATGGAAAGAAAGTACCGTTACGTTTAATTTTCAAGATGATCTCGTTCGCATCGCTCAATCACGTCCTGGTTGAAGTTCGTTCGCTGCGCTCACTCACCTTTGGGTTGGAGCTCGTTCGCTCCGCTCACTCACCTTTAGGTTGGAGCTCGTTCGCTGCGCTCACTTGCCTTCAGGTTAGCTCATTCGCTACGCTAACTCGCCTCCAGGTTGAAGTTCGTTCGCATCGCTCAATCACGTCCTGGTTGGAGCTCGTTCGCTACGCTCACTCACCTTTAGGTTGGAGCTCGTTCGCTGCGCTCACTTGCCTTCAGGTTAGCTCGTTCGCTACGCTAACTCGCCTCCAGGTTGAAGTTCGTTCGCTACGCTCACTCACCTTTTGGTTGCAAATTAGCTGTTGTCATAAATGTAAAAGAAATAATAGTGCTGCACCCTGTTGGTAATCCTTGTAACTTTAATGCTATTGAACATCATAGAACAGAACCAACTTGTTTAATTGAAACAGCTGTTAAGATTCATTAATTCCATTTCTCATAAGGTTAACATGGGAAACTCCAGAGCCACTGGGGCGGAGCCCTTTTAAGAATTTCGAAACGGGAAATAGTTTACGTCCGATTCGCATACCTACAGAATTTACACACCAAATTTCATAACAATCGGTGAAGTCGTTCCGGAGGAGTTTGCAGACAAACACTGTGACACGAGAATTTTATATATTAGATATAGATAGATAGATAGATGTGTGTAACAAATTAGATTTCTGTTCCACTGTCAGTATCATTCGTTTAAGTTGTCGGTTTTTTTTAGGATAGGTAGCAGACTTACCCGATTGGGAAAGAGTCATAACGGGACCAAGAGACACAACACAAAACTTAAGAATAGTATAAAGTAAATAGTACGTTATCTTACCTTAGTTACTACTATTATAAATGTGAAATTTTGTTTGTTTGTTTATTTGTTTGGTTGTTTAAAGTTGATCGCGCATCAACTACTAGTCAGATTGGGTTGAAATTTGGTATGATGATAGCTCACATTCCCGATGAACATATAGACATATTCTTACCTCAAAAATCCTTTCGGGCTTCGACCCAGATGGCTCCCATGTTAGAGTTTCCTATGTTAACCTTATAAGTATTCATATTTAAAAGGTATTAAACAATTTTGCCAGCTGTTTCAACTACACAAGTTGGTTCTATGATATTCAATAGCATTAAAAAGTTGCACTATTAATTCTTTTTGCATTTACAACAACAGCTAATTTGAACCAAGCAGCAACAAAAAACTGTGAGAACTTAACTTTTATCTATTGTATAGGAGCAGTGGTAGAACATTATGGCTGTGGTAGTATGTGCTATACTATAGTATACCGGTACCATAAATTATAGCAAATCAATTTTTTTTAAACGTGTCCTCTCCCATTGCAAACCCAAAGCACGAGTATAACTGCAATAATCATTTTATACTTATACGTCAACCCCGTACGAAGGACGGGTAATCTGCTAGTAATAGTATAAATCTGAAATGGTACAAATTGGACTAAAGGGCTTTAGTTTGCGTGAAATTTAACATGGGTCTTATGGGTTTATTGGTTACCATGACTTTTCCAAGAAAACAAAAATCATAAACATATGTTAGCAACGAATAATCTAAACTGTGAGATTATAAATACATTACAAAAGGGAATAACAATTGGATTAATATCTTTGAGCATAATTTATTACAAAATGAATAACTAATTATGGTCACCGAAATTAGGCTAATGCACCATTGACTTAAGATACTTCAAATAGCCATGTCCACCTTTGACTCCAGGCAGCGGCCTTTGAAGTGGCAACGTCGCAAGTAGTGTTGTTACAGCTGTTTTGATTGGAGCCAGCTAATGGTAATTGTGTATTTTTTAAGAATACAAAAGCATGTTTTTTTTCAATCTTTAAATAAATTTATTTTCATAAATTTAAATTAATTAATAATACGCAAATTAATGAGCTGGTGTCACCTGTCTGCAATGTTACCTTATGGCACGTCTGGCGCTGAACAACACTACTTGCTACATTGCCAATTCTACCAGGCCGTGGCCTGGAGTTAAAGATGGCCATGCAAATAGCCATTCCATTTTACAGCCTACCATTGAATTTGGATATACTGCAAATAAGCATTTCATGTGAACCACATATACCATTGGCTTAAGACACTGCAAGTAGACATCGCATTGACGTGAACCAGACTTGATTGACATTGAATACAGTACTGCAAATAGGCATTCCATTAATTTATGTAAAACCATTAAACCATTGACTTTGGATACTGCAAGTAGCCATCATGTTGTGCCCTTAAATATATTAAATTAAAACACATTTTGTTAGAGCCACTTCTTTCATTGTATTTAATAACAAAAACCAAAACTTAAAGTAAACATGAAACAATAATATATCAAACCAGATGACAAGCAAATAAACTAACTATTAATGTAGACCTCAGGACATCTCCCTCTTAAAGTTCTTCTATGAACCTCTTAGCAGGTTTAACAATTCTGGTAGGTCTGTGTATGGTTGAAGAATGATTATGTAGGTTGGATCTTGGTGTATGTGTCTGTCTTGGAGGAAGTGTCTGTGTATGGGGGTTTTCTTTATCAGGATTTTCTCTTTCTCCAGAGGAGAACATAGGGAATAAGAATTTTGAATTCCTGATATATCTTCCTCCCCTTTTTGTTTCAACATTATATTTCCTGTTCTCTAACTTCTCCTTGATTACCCCTTCTTCTCTTCGGTCCGATACCCAAACTTTAGCGTTTTCTGGGTAATCCTTGACCTGGGTCACTCTATGTCTTTTATTGAACTGTTGTTCCTGTTTCCTCTTTTCTTCCATTTGTCTAAGTCTATATCTATTGTGATTTGGAGTGGCTGGAAGTAGAGTTGCTTTATTCACTGGTAGATTTGTTCTTAAAATCCGTCCCATTAATAGTTGTGATGGGCTATAACCACATTCCTTTGGCGTCGTATTGTATGCCAATAAGCCCAGATGTCTATCCTTACACTTCTTTAATATGTTTTTGAAGATTTTCACACCACTTTCAGCTTGACCATTGCACTGATGATGGTATGGTGAACTAGTTTCCACTGTGAAGTCGTATTCTGATTTGAATAGTTCCCATTCTTCTGATAGAAATTGCACACCTGAGTCTGATCTAATTGACTCGGGGATGCCATGCTTTTCAAACGATGTCTTCATTGATTTAATCAATATTGCCGTTGAACAGTTAGATACCTTATATACATCGATGTATTTGGAATAATAATCCATGAGAATTATGTATTTATCATTGTTGAATTCACAAAAATCTACTCCGATTTTCTGCCAGGGTCTTTCAGGAACCTCTGTAGGAATCATAGGATGGCGAGGAGGCACTCTGTCAGCAATGCATTGCGGGCAATAGGTTACTTTTTGTTCGATGTGATGATTAATTTTGGGCCACCATACTGACATTTTAGCCCTTTCTTTACATCTTTTAATACCTTGATGACCTTGATGAATATTATCTAACATTTCTTTTCTCAAGGATGGAGGAATCACTATTTGATTATTTCTCATAAGTATATCTTCATTGATCGACAATTCTGCTTGATGATCCCAGTATTCTTTTAATCTTTCATTTAATAGGTTCTTATTTTTAGGCCATCCTTGAATTGTAATATCTAACAATTCCTGTAATTCTTCTCTTTGATTTTTTTATTATTACATCTAATTTATTAGATGATACTGGGATTGATTGAACTACTGTTCTTACACATGCTTCTGCTTCTTCTGCAAGTTTCTCAATATATTCCTCTTCAGTTTTGTTGATTGGCGCTCTTGATAACGTGTCGGCAGTTGTTAATTGTTTTCCTGGTACCCACAATATGTCGTACGAATATCTCATTAATCTCATTTTAAATCTCTGAACTCTTAGCGGCAGTTCATCCAAACCCTTACTACTTAAAAGAGGAATCAGAGGTCTATGATCAGTTTGAATTTGAAACTTCAATCCTGTTATAAAATTTTTGAAACGTTCACATGCCCATACTATTGCATAAGCCTCCTTTTCAATTTGTGCATATTTCTGTTGAGTCGGTGTTAAGCTCTTTGATGCGTAGGCCACAGGTTTTAAATGTCCTTGATGTTCTTGCAAAAGTGTTGCACCCAAACCATAAGCTGATGAATCGGCCGAAATTATAGTTCTCCTTTTCAAATTGAATGGTATTAAGGCAGGAGTTGTTTGTAAACTCTTTAAGGCTGTTTTAAATGATTGTTCTTGACTAGGACCCCAAACAAAAGCCCTATCTTTATTTAGTAGTTCCCTCAGTGGTTGAACGATATCAGCAAGGTTTTCTATGAATTTTCCGACATGATTCAACATCCCTAGAAATCTCCTAACACTTCCCACATCACTGGGTGTGGGGAAATCGATTATTGCTTGTAAGTGTTTGGGATCTGCTTGAATCATACCAGAAGAAATAATGTGACCTAAGAATGAAATCTTTGTTTTTCCTATTTCACACTTGTCATTTAAGGTAACTCCTTCTTTTTCCAATTCTTGTAACACTTGGTCTAGTCTGCTGTCATGCTCGGGTTTACTTTCTCCGGTAATTAAAATATCATCCATATAACACAAAATTCCTGGGATGTCTCCAATAATACTTTTCATCCTGTTACAAAATATTTCCGGGGCTGTTGAAATTCCGAAGGGAAGTCTTTTAAAACAAAATCTACCAAATGGTGTTATAAATGTTGTCAATTTTGAGGAACCCTCATCTAGCGGTATTTGCCAAAACCCCGAATTAGCATCTAATTTTGAATACCATTTGGAATTCCCTAGACATCCAAGTAAGTCCTCAACAGTATTAAAAACGTTATTTTCTCTCTGTAAATGGTTGTTTAAAGCTGAAGGATCAATGCATATTCTTACACTGCCATTAGGTTTAGGTCTTACCGCATTGACGTGAACCAGACGTGATTGACATTGAATACAGTACTGCAAATAGGCATTCCATTAATTTATGTAAAACCATTAAACCATTGACTTTGGATACTGCAAGTAGCCATCACATGGATGTGAACCTAATGTACCATTGACTTTGCATTCTGTATAAGTAAAACAGAGTTACCATTGACTTTGGATACTGCAAATAGGCATTTCATTAATGTAAAACCATTACACACTTGACTTTGGATACTGCAAATAGACAATAAATTTATAAGAACCAAATTAACCATTGACTTTAGATATTGCAAGTAGACATCCCATTTATGTGAAGCAAATGTAGCATTGATTTTGGTAAAGTATGGATTAATATGGTAGCTCTGCTCAATATTGCAAGCAGACAACTGCATTGTTCACCTAGTATTATTTATGTTCTTTTGTGTTATCCTTAACAGGGACAAGGTGTGATGCCTGATGGGACATCAAGATTTACCTGTAAGGGCAAACCACTATTCCACTTCATGGGCTGTTCCACCTTTAGTGAATTCACTGTGGTGGCAGAAATATCTTTGTGCAAGGTAAGAGCAAAGTCCTTTCAATTGTTTCAATCATTGTGTCATTTCATGTTATTGTTAGCAATTTTTGACCAGCCCTAAAATTTAAGAGATTTGAAATTTTAATGTGAGGTGCTTCTCTTGGTCAGAATAAACTTCTTGATTCAAATTATGTTTTGCTGTAAGGTTTTATTATTTTTACTAATTATTTGAACATATTCATTCAAAAAGCATTAAGCTTAAAGATTGTTTTAACAATTCTTTGCATGGGAAGTAGCTATTAGTATTATCTCATGGGCGCCCGCAGGATTTAGAACAGGAGGGTGCAATATATAGATCCAACAAACGTCTGGGGGGACCGGGGCCTTCCCCAGGAAAATCTCTGAAAATTTAATGTTTTAAAACATATTTCTACGCTATTTGGTAACACATAGAACCAACCAAAACAAAATAGTATATTGTGCATCAAGGAGGGTAAAAGTCATAGTTTTTATGCCAACATTAAAGATTAAAAAGCTATTCGAAGTTATTATGTATAATTTATATGGTTAAATCCACAAGCCAAATTATAAGTAAAAATAAATTTACAGCTGAATAAAGCCTAGATAACAGCCAAAAAGTTGATATTTTGTTTTCTGAATAGTTTTGTTAAAGAATAAAGAATGGTAAATCTGTGAATCAACTACTTATTTGAGTTAAACAAAAATTTAAAACATCAATTTAAAACATTTTGTAGAAATAGAAATGACCATTAAACATACATAAAATTTTTAAAACCCAAGTGATTAAAGAACATTATGGGTATTAAATTGATTTCTTTTTTTTGCCAGGGGGGTGCAATTGCACCGTATTGGTGTATATATTTGTAGGCACTATAACTCCCATAATAATGCTCATACTCATAACATGAGAAAGGGGTTTTTTGTGTCAGTGTTTTGCTGCTAAAATCTGTTGTTTTGTGTTGTATCAGATATCAGATGCAGCTCCTCTAGAGAAGGCTTGTCTGCTGGGTTGTGGTGTTCCTACTGGCTACGGTGCTGCTCTCAACACTGCCAAGGTAACCAACAAACTTCCTCTAGTATTGTGAGTTTTCCTTATAAGCTTTCAACACTATCACGTGCTTACCTACATCTTTCTAAACTAACTACAGTCTAACCTTGATATAATGAACCTCAATATAACGAATTCCTTGATATAACGAATTTTTTTGAATCCCCTAGAACTCTCCTTAAGAGACTATGTATATTTTACCTCTACATAACGAACAAACCATAACAACTACCTTGATTTAACAAATTTTTCGTGATTTCGGCTAAAATAAGACACCTCAATATAACGAATTTATCATTGTCAAAACCTCTACATTGCGAATTTAACCTCTGCATAACGAATTGTCTACGTCTTTCCCTTGATATAACAAATCCCCCACCCCAGTATTGTTTTTGGAAAATCTGTTTCTTTATCAAATTAAATGGAAAGGTGACGTCATCGCTTGCGCTAACATTCGTCTGCTCCGTTTTAAACACATATCTCTGTCTGCTGTCGCTGCGCACGCAATGTTGGAACTGAGAACTGATTTCATTCACTGGAGGACTGATGACGACGTAATGGTTAGTAAGCTGTGATTGGGTGATAAGTAAATATGGTGAATTGTACAATTTTTGGATAAAGAGAAATCTAAGAAAGAATATAAAAACAAAAGCAAAGAGAAAGAATAGCAACATCGTTATTTTAACATTCCTTAATTTACGAGTGTTTTTACTATCTTTAAGTTGGCTATGAATATGCACTTTTATAATGACTTATCTAATAATTTATTGTTTTCAATACGATTTGTTTCAACTAGCAACACCAATGCTATAGTTAATGATTATTATTGACATTCCTCTGTTGTGATAAATCAGTACTGTACTGTAAGTAGCCTACCAGCCTATCACGGAGCAGTCAGTAGCTTACAAAACTTTCTACTGTTTTGTTTTATTTTTTACATGGTTTATGACTACGCAATGTAGTGTTTGGCTAGGTTTTAGGAGGGTTAGAACAAGCTGTGATTTTAAACTTACAGTTTTTAACCTGTACCAAGGTCAATGCCCATTGTCATGATTGCGCAATAGGCCTATTCAAGATCCCTCACCTTTATTATGCCGGATAATTTAGGTTCTACCATTTACTATTGGATACATAAGGTTCTACTGTACAATGAACACTGTACTGTAAAGTATTGTAGCCTATGCAAATTTAATTGTGTTTTAATGAGGTGAAATCCCGGCCTATATTGACCGACGCTGGTTCTGAACCTCGACTTAGCGAAATGCCTGCAAACCTAACCTCTATATAACGAACCTCATTTTTTTAACGAAATCCTTGATATAACGAATATTCAGTTCGGTCCCTTCAGATTCGTTATACTGAGGTTGGACTGTATAATTTTAGGCTTACCAGGTGATATTCCTACATAATTTTGTTGTATTTTATAACAATGATTGAAAGAGATGGAGGGTTGGAACAACTTTTAAAAAGTACAGGGGGAACCGATTAAGTTAGTTAAAAGATTTACATATTTAGCCACAGTGTTATCAATTGATGGGAGAATGACAGAAGGGGTAACGGTCTAGACTGGGGAAAGGTGTGGGATTATATCAAAGTGTTAGAGGTACATACATTTAAGCAACAAGTAGGTACATTATGAACAAACAAAAAATTTTTGGAAATTGCAGGATTTAACAATTTAAAAATAAAAATTGAGCAACATAAAAAGATTGGTATAGGTACTTACTTACTTCCAGGGCCATTTATATCAGCTGGGTGATATTTAGCAGCACCAACAAAAAATAATCCATGGTAAAAATATGATATTAAATAAAAATAACCCTACCACATAGTTGTGTAATAATATATTTCATAACAAGAGTAGAAAGTGAGTCATTACATATTTGAGACATGTTTGAGACTTATAGAGCACTTTAAATGGTCGAGAATATGTATAGATAGACCCACTTTCACTCGTGTTTTGTACGTTACTTTATGCTACACTACAAACAAAGACTAATTATTTTTTTAATCAAAACAGGCATCGGATATTTCTTTATTACGGTTAGGAACATTACAAAAATTATAGAATTTTTTAGGTTATGCCTTCAATTAAAGTTAGTTAATATTTACTTTGGTTGTACAGTTTTGGTTGTTGAAAGTTGAAACAGTTGACAAAACAATAACATCTTGTTTACGTCGGCTAAATCCAAAATACCCCCGCCGCAGCAAACCTGCAGACTAAGCGAATTTCAACTTGTCTGATTACATTTTTACTAAAAATTTTCCATGTATAAGACATATTTATTCTCAATTTAAATAACATTAGATTTAACGAGTGCTTAGGTTTGCTGCTACAGGGAAGGTAAAAAGTGTTTTTCGACCATAAGTCCAGCCAATTACAATTACCAAATTATATATATAATTTGTATACATGGACTACTATCGCTACAACTACAACTATCGCTCGGCTGCTCTGGGTTTTGACCATGAGTCACCCACTAAGCTTAATGCATAGTATGGAAGAATTTTTGTATATCACCATAAAGTGTATTAAATAACGCCAGTTTAGTTACCTGAGCGGAAATAGTTGTCGGTTCGGTGTGACTTGGCCTCAAGGCTTTCTGTACTAGGAGTTGAGCCACCTTGTTGTGTGATTTCATAGTATAGGATGAAATAAATAAATTTGCCAAATTTTATCAATATAAACAAGTAAACCACAACAGTTTTCATTTTTTCCATATGAATAACATGGGAATTTTAAATTTGCACTTTTTTGAATTTTCTCCGTAACCATTAGGCATACAACAATGCTTCAATATACTAAATTATTTACTTTTTTAAGCTCTACAAAACGGTTGGGAAAAAATTCCAAAATTTTATGTTTTTAGGGTCAAAAATGGGAAATTCCCATTTTTACCCCATGAAACCCCCCATAAGCCCCTGTTCCCATGGTCCGATCATGCTGGTTCGCGAACTCGTTCATATAAATGTAGGTTTACATGTTTATACCAAATTTCATCAAAATCGGATAATTTTTGTTCGAGTTATCGTGCTGACGGACACACACACACACACATATATATATATATATATATACATATATATATATGAATTTGAACGGATGGTGTTTTTGGCCTCTGGGGACATCAAAATGAAAAAGTAAATCGGCCCCGAGTCCAGGTCTTACCATGAGACCTACGGGTAATAGCTTATTCCCTATGGGAAATTCGCTAAAAGATAGTAAACACTACTTTCGTATAGTTTAAACATGCTTTTTCCGTAGTACACAATGTAATGATGAATTTTCACAGGTGATGAACATATAACAAAAACAGGTCATTTCACAGCAGTGTAGTGAAATAGTATATTACGTTACTAGCCCAATAAGGGGTGTTTTACCGTACGAGCAAGGCGGGATTTTCGTGCGAGTACTGTAAAGCTTACCAGACGAGTAAGGTACGATACTTTACATCATATTATATAGAAAAATTAGTACATTTTAAACTCATAACACATTTTATTTAGGACATACATAAATTATAATATTTTGTATATTTCAGAAAATACAATAGGCTGTTGCAATCAGCTGTTTATTTCATCAGCTGACTAAGTGGACGGTATAAAGCTTTTTTATCACCGTGTATTCGAAAATAGCCCATTTGCATACAGCTGAGATCTTAGAAAATCGTCAATTTCCATACACCAAAAACAAATAGTGATCAGCTGACTTTTCCTGACATAAACATTACTTTTGCTACACAAACAATACTTTGCTTGACATCAACAAAGTTAGGCTACAACTGAAGCTGCCATGGTTTTTATAAGTTTGATGAAGTTTTTTTTATCATGATAAAAAGTATCGTTCAATACTCGTCATGAAAGTCCCATTTCGACTCGCATGTAAAACACTATCTCACCCCGAAATGGGTCACTTTCGTGACTAGTATTGAAATGTACTATAAGAGTAGGGGGTTACTTTTCCGTGTGTAGGCATGGCAAAGGGCAACTTTCCAGCCTATCAATACGGATGGAAAAGTACCTGTTTCTGTTTAGTATGACGTAAAATATATTAAATTATTTACTTACTCTTACTCCCATGGCCATTTCTACACCAAGTGGTACTTGGGGTCACCAACACACTGCCTCCACGTCGTCCTGTCTCTTGCGGTATCTTCATTGACTTCCATCCTGGTCATATCCTTCTTTACTTCATCCATCCAGCGTTTCCTCGGTCTCCCTCATGGTCTTCTCCTCAGTGGATCACTTTTCCATATTATATACAATGTGCTTGTTTCCTCTCTTCTAATGATGCGGCCAGGCCAGCGAAGCTGCTTTTAGCCTCTGCGATTAAGGCTCCTTGAACATATCTCTTAGTTCCTGATTATGTTTAATTCTCCATACGTCTCCTTCTTTAGTAGGGCCATAGATTTTGCGCCAGACTTTCTTTTCAAAGGTAATTAGTTTTTTCTCTGTGTTTTAGCGAATTTCCCTATAGGGAAGTAGCTATTACCGTAGGTCTCATGGTAAGACCTAGGCCCGGGACCGATTTACTTTTTCATTTTGATGTCCCCAGAGGCCAAAAACACCATTCTTTCAAATTTTTATATATGTATATATATATCTATATATATATATATGTGACCATCCGCACGATAACTTGAGTAATTTTTGTCCGATTTTGATAAAATTTGGTTTGAAGGTGTAAGGCGGGATAAACTTGAATGAGTTCGCGAACCAGCATGATCGGACCATGGGAACGGGGTTTTACGGGGTTTTATGGGGTAAAAATGGGTTTTTCTCATTTTTTACCCTTAAAACACAAAATTTATCCATTTTTCTCCAGACCTTTTTAAAGAGCTTAAAAAAACAAATAATTTAGTATATCAAAGTGTTTTTGTACGGTGATTGGTTACGTTGAAAATTCCAAAAATTTTTAATTTAAAATTCCCATGTTATTCTTATGGAGAATATTATAATATGTTGTAGTTGGCTTGTTTATGGATATATTTTGATCAAACTTGGCAGATTTATTTATTTCATACTAAGCTATCGATATTTTAATAAAAAACAAACTTTATTAGTTTCCCTGTAGCAGCTAACCTAGGTACTCGTTAAACATAAATGTTAATTTAATAGATTAATTGAAAATCGATCCAGGCAAATGGAAATTCGCTAAGTCGGCAGGTTTGCTGCAGCGGGGGTATTTATTCATAAACCAGGTTTCAGCTCCAGAAAGAAAGACAGATCTTACGATAGTGTGATAATATCCTTGATATTATACTTTGATCAGATGTCCTGGTTATTAGTGATGTGTCAAAACCGAATCTCAAATCTCAAAACCATCAAAACTTAGGAAGAGTTTCGGTTTCGAGATTCGATCACCAAGTTTCGAGATTCAAAAGTTTTGAAATTGAAGATTTTGGCAGTTTTATTTTTTAAACTGCTGACATTTTTTGTGCCATTGTTATTGTTTTCAATGCTGTTTCCAAACAATCTGGTAGAAACAGAGCAAACATCACCATTAACAGTAATGAAACAAGTAAAGTTTATTCTGAACTTCAAAAGGTATCTTAAATACTATTACTGGTACAATTCAGTTTCACATCAATATTTACTAAACACAAAGATATATTGACCACTAAATGTTCTAATTAATCTAATACCTATTCATGTTGGTATTTATGTTGGTGTTAGAAGTTTAATTTTTTTTGTTGGTTGTTTTTGTTTATGAAAAATTATGTTGTATTGGGTTTTAAGATTATCAGTCACATTCACATATTTATGTTCTGTCACGGTCAGGAGTCGATCTCTTTCAGTTTTGATTGCATACTTAACATTTTATGATTATGTGTATTTTTTTGTAACCTTGACCTTTGTAGCCAGCTAAAAAAGTTTCGGTTTCGGTTTTGAGATTCAAAATTTCTGGTTTTGACCATCACTACTGGTTATTATGCAAATTTAACTTGTTTATTTGTGTTATTCTGTAATATTGGTTTTTACTCAAATAAAGCCTTGGAATTTGTAAAAGGTTTCTTTATTATTTCAAAAATTAATTTTAGTAAAATAAATGAAATGGAGAAAAATTTAAAACCACAACTTCCAAACATCAATCTGGATTCTCCAACAGTAAAAAAAGAATTTTCTCACTGGATTAAAACTTTCCATAGGTAACTATGTTGACATTGCTAAAGTTTCAAATGAAGATGTTTTGAAAGTACTAATCAATAAGACATTTTATTATTATTGAAGAATATTCAACATTCAAAGAAGCTATCAAAACATTAAAAGAGATATAGGCCTATTGCAAATCTCCTAACATAATTTTTGCAAGACACAAACTAGCTATGAGAAAACAGAATTCAAATGAAAACATTCAACAATAATCAATCAAATCAATTTTCTTTATTGAGATTTCTTTAAGAAATACAATAGTGCCATATACATAGATTGCAATTTGAATTTTCATCTTGCTTAACAGTTTTGATCAAAGAATTCATTTGAAATTAATTTAACCAGCTTGATTAGAATATGTCCAAGCTTTGAAATCATTAAGTAAAGACGGTGGAATCAAACCTGTAACTTCAGAACAAAACCGATGTGACTATATACGAACGAGATGCATTCATAATTTTTTTTTTAATAAAGAGGTTGGCGGTCTCTTTTAACCTTGCATTTGCCCATCCACATAGACTAAGCGCCCGTGCGTGGATCGTTTACAGCAAAGCAAGGAGTGAGCCGGTACAGTACAAAGGTGAACTGTACTGATAAATTTTAGTGGCAGTGACCAGGATCCGAACCCACGACATCGCTGCCTTGGGCCCGAAGTCCGCGACGCTACCGACTGAGCCACCGACTCACTAACGGTAAATGGTTTACTATATGCTGACATTCGACAACAGCTCATGGAAAACAAAAAATTAGAACTTAGATGCTATGAATCAATCTCTAGCTCTAGAAATGGCTCAGAATCCAGAAATTCATGACAAATACAGAAATCATACTTCTAGTGAAGTACTAAATGCAATTCCTAAGGCTAGTCAAATTATCAAGTAGGAAGAAAATAATTCAGTCAGAAAATTCAAAAATAGCTGCTGCACAGTCTAGGTGCTGCTTTGTGACCATCAGCGTCATCCCCGTTCCGTATGTCCATCAAACATATTTCACTTTTTAAAGTAATAAAAGTGATTCTTTAAAATGTTAGAACAAATCTGAATTTAATAATCATAGAAAAAATACAAAATGTAAACATAGACATAAAAATTTTAAAGGTGATTGAGATAATTGTTTAAAAGAGCCAGGTAATCTATACTTATAAAAGGCAAAGCCCTCACTGACTCACTCACTCACTCATCACTAATTCTCCCACTTCCCATTTACCTAGGAGGCTGAAATTCGGTACACCGATTCTTTGGGCATTAAATAGGAAAACTAAGTAGTTTTTATTCTGATCGGACTCTTGAGCTCTGCCCCAGTGGATCTGGAGTTTCCCATGTTAACCTTATGAGTACTTATATTTAAATGGAATTAAAGAATCTTAACAGCTGGTTCAACTAAACAAGTTGATTCTGTGATGTTCAATAGCATTAAAGAGTTAATAGGTTTACCACAGGGTGCAGCACTATTATTTTTTTACATTTATGACAACAGCTTGCAACCAAAAGGTGAGTGAGCGTAGCTAGCGAACGAGCTCCAACCTAAAGGTGAGTAAGCGTAGCAAACAAACTTCAATCAGGACTTGATTGAGCTATGCGAACGAGCTCATCTTGAAAATTAAGAAGTTAAACAGGGCAAAGCTAGTGTGAATATATTACAGTCTTCCCCTCTAAAAATAGGAAAAAAATTATTCGGTCGATATAACGTGGTGTTTATAACACAAATTGTAATAATAAAACGGTTATAATGCTTGGTAACAACCAAAGCCTCGTGTAAGACAGAATCTACACTTACTCTTGTGCTTAGAATCCTTCCTTGAACATGTGAAATAGACGCATACGAAATATAACTTCAAATAATTATATTAAACGTTACTGGTAAATAAATAGAGCATTATCACGTGGCTCTACTCTTACCAGTGTTCGTATCGTCTCGTGATTTTAATATCGGCTATCGCCAGATATTGGTACGTAGGGAGTCGTGTAGCGAACGTTTCGTGGTTGATGGACGACTGACTGTCTCAGGGCGCTTCTCTTGCGGTTCTCTCCTACCGCCCCTGGCTTTGGGGTTGAGAATTACGGTCATCCCCTCCATATGACGTCACTAGGTCCAGCGTTCGTCGCGGCCTTTTTGTGAAACAAATCAACGTATTTGGGATGATCGTGAAATATTACCCCATGGTAATTTTTGACCCATTACAGTTTCCTGTACTTCTTCCACAGTCGGTGCTTCAATGTTTAGTTGAACATGCATATATGTTGGAGCATCCATTCCTTGAGTATCCCCTTTATTGATTAATTATATATTTAATTAAATATATTTAATCAGCTGTCTGAAATTGTGAAATACACACATTTTGCAGTTATTCTTGTTTACATTGAAATGTCAAAGCAAAGATAAACATAATGAGTTTTCTCATCATGCCATGGTGACCAATCAATATTTACTTTTAAAAACTCCACCTCAAAAATATGGATATCCATGGGGTGAAGCCCGAAGGAAACACAAGGAAGTGAATAGGCCTATGACGTTCCTAGATATATAGAACATTTTTGTGGTTAATTTTGGCTATATTGGATTAGTATTTTTGTCATGACAACCGGCCAGTCAGACAGACACCACCTCAATTTATTAATAGTACAGTTTGCTGGCAGGTCGAGGCTTGGTCCAACTGTGCTATCTGGGGTCACGGCGCTGTGGGTCAGGCTGTGGCTCTGGGTTGTCAAGCTGCTGGTGCCAAATGCATCATTATGTTATGTCTTGTATTTAATACAGTTTGTTGGCAGGTAGAGGCTGGGCCCAACTGTGCTATCTGGGGTCACGGCGCTGTGGGTCAGGCTGTGGCTCTGGGTTGTCAAGCTGCTGGTGCCAAATGCATCATTATGTTATGTCTTGTATTTAATACAGTTTGTTGGTAGGTAGAGGCTTGGTCCAACTGTGCTATCTGGGGTCACGGTGCTGTGGGTCTAGCTGTGGCTCTGGGTTGTCAAGCTGCTGGTGCCAAATGCATCATTATGTTATGTCTTGTATTTAATACAGTTTGTTGGCAGGTAGAGGCTGGGCCCAACTGTGCTATCTGGGGTCACGGCGCTGTGGGTCTAGCTGTGGCTCTGGGTTGTCAAGCTGCTGGTGCCAAATGCATCATTATGTTATGTCTTGTATTTAATACAGTTTGTTGGCAGGTAGAGGCTTGGTCCAACTGTGCTATCTGGGGTCACGGCGCTGTGGGTCTGGCTGTGGCTCTGGGTTGTCAAGCTGCTGGTGCCAAATGCATCATTATGTTATGTCTTGTATTTAATACAGTTTGTTGGTAGGTAGAGGCTGGGTCCAACTGTGCTATCTGGGGTCACGGCGCTGTGGGTCTGGCTGTGGCTCTGGGTTGTCAAGCTGCTGGTGCCAAATGCATCATTATGTTATGTCTTGTATTTAATACAGTTTGTTGGTAGGTAGAGGCTGGGTCCAACTGTGCTATCTGGGGTCTCGGTGCCGTGGGTCTGGCTGTGGCTCTGGGTTGTCAGGCTGCTGGCGCCAAACGCATCATTGGAGTGGACATCAACCCAGACAAGTTTGAAACTGGTATAAGTCAACTATATTATGTTATTTGTCACTCAATACCATATCCTATTAAAAAACTTAAACAAAATCAAACATTATGATTTATCTGCAAGGTTTTGTGAGTCATAGTTTACTATCAACTATTAATGTGATAAGTATTTTTTTGTGAGAATAGTGAATGAAAAAAATCGAATCTGGCACAAGAAACACAAAGCTTTTAAAACTCACTCCATAAAAAAAATTATTAGAATATTTCAATATTTATTTCAGGAACAGTGAAATATTATAATGTTTTGTGTATAGTGATAGTGTAAAGTTCTGTGTTTTTTGAGGCGGATCAGACTCTTTCCAATCCAGGTAAGCTGAGTACCCTCACAACAAAAAATCCTGAAAAGTAATGCCCTTGAGCTCAATGCTACATCTTTAGGCCTATCCTAAAATAGTAACATGACAAGTAACTCATTCATCAAACACACTTTTGTGGATAATTTATTTCAGCATGAATAAACAGTTATAGTCAGGGTGTCTAGTAGTCGGGAAAAACGGAAATTTCGGGAATTAGTATTGAATTTCAAAATGGTCTTGAAAAATTGGGATTTAGTCTTTATTTTGTTGTCACAGTCAGGTATTTTATGGACCATGTAAAATCGAATAAAATATTAATTTTTTTTCAGGATCACACAATACGATGATCTAGTTTCCAAAACCGTGAGAGATGTTCATGATTTTGCTGCGATTGCGCAGAATGTTGTCGCGATCGCAGAAGACGATGATAATGTGTACATGACAGGGAGAGATGGCAAAGATTTTTCCGCTATCGTGCAAGTCAACGATGGCGCTTTTGTGACCGCGGGAGTCGATGACAATGTCTACACGGCTGCAAGAGATATAATTAGAATTTTTTTCACAATTGCGGAAGACAGAAATCAGAATTTTGCTGCGATTGTGGGAAATAATCATAATGTTCACATGATCGTGGGAGATATTAGTTTTTATTGCTTGAAAAACGCCCCATTATCCTTAAAATACCCATAAAATACTTTATGGTATAAAGACCTAGTTGGAATAGTAACATGGAAAATTTGGTATAATAAAGCTAATGAAAATGTTAGGGGTATCAAGAATTGAGAATCGATTGTTCAGGTATCGATGTCGAGAATCAAAAATGTTGGTATTGACAAATCACTAATTGTTTAAAAGTCTTGAAAAGTTTGGAATTAGTCTTGAATTTTAAAATGGAGATTAACTAAACACCAATATTGGAATTAGGGTGTTTATATTCTGTCTGCATTTTGTCATCATCACTATTTAGATGTCTCCTCTCTATTCTTTTAGTATTTTCCTTTTCAAAACTATATTATAATCTTATCTTTGATTGTTTTTTTTTTGTTGCATGTACCTATTTTACTCTTGCAACCCTATCTAACTAACAACAAAATAATTTATTAATTAATTTTATCAATTTGTTCCTTATCAATTTATTTAAATATCTTAGTTGATCCTCCATATCTGCTAGTTTGTGTCTTCATGCTGAAACTGTAAAACATCTGATTGCTGTTAATTTCTCCGAGTCCAAACATTGCCACATCTAAACAAGGATAGCTGTTAACTACAGTTCCTATTTTCTTTTGTTATCTATGACAGTCTTCATATTTGAAATCTTATTTTACCAGTAGCCGAAAATATCATGTCTATCACCCTTGTGATGATGATAGTCTCTGTACATAAATTAACAAGCCACCAATATTAGTTAAAAGAAGTTTCCCATTTTGCCTCATAAAAATAGTTGTTGTGGTGTATAATGGAGCCATGGAGGTTATACACACCGTGTCAACGAGGATAAATATTTGTTAATCCCTTGTTAAATTTTACATATATATCTATTTTTTATACTATTCAATACGCAAGCAGGTTTTTTGTGACAATTACTCCTCCGAAACTACTGGACCGATTGACATATTTTTGGTGTCATTGGAAAGAGTGTAACGTGAAGTTTTGCAGGAAACTTTCTTTTTAGGGAAATAATGAGAGAGTGAGGCCCTGGGGCCCTTTTAAGTTTCGTATTTCTCCATAAGATTAACATGGGAAACAAACATTGTTATGAAACTCCAGCTGTTGTCAGAAATTAAAAGTGAGAAGAAGAGCATATGTTAATTTAAAATTGTGACAGAGAGATTATGCAGAAAATCAGGTAGTTAATGGTTATTTGGTGCTACAGTAGAACCTCTTTAATCCGAAACCCCGTTATCCGAATGTCCACTAATCCGAACTCCTCATGGAACTGTTCTCTATACACAGTACAGTAGTTATTTATTGTATACGTACGCACCGTAATTGTTTCTATTGTAATTTACAGTACTGTTTATGTACTATGTTTACTACTGTATTAAATAAACACTGTATTATACTTTATAAAGCATTTTTTCACTCTTCCTGTAACAATTAAGAGCCATTTTAGCCACATTTTAGCTATTCTTAAGTAAAAACAACATCATGTTCTGTAATCCGAACTATTCAATAATCTGAACTACCCCCAGTCCCAATTAGTTTAGATTAAAGAGGTTCTACTGTATTAAAATAAATACTGAAATTTGTAAACGTACTGGCGACAATGGGTGATACCATGCAGACTACATTATCATTGACAAAGACCACCATGGATAACCTATTGCGGCTATAAGTGGGAAACATTTGTACAATACACTAAAAGCCAGATCAGCTTTTGAAAAATGATAAAATATTTACAAGAAATGTTGATTATATTGAACTGTTAAGTACATTGTGATTACGGGGAACTCCTTCTTTGTGATTGCTCGATTTCGAGCAACATGTACACTAGTACTTATTTAATACTCAAGCAGGTTTTTTGTGACAATTACTCCTCCAAAACTACTGAACCGATTGACATGTTTTTGGTGTCATTGGAAAGAGCATGACGTGAAGTTGTGCAGGAACCTTTCTTTTTAGGGAAATAATTAGAGAGTGAGGCCCTGGAGCCCTTTAAATTTTCGTATTTCTCCATAAGATTAACATTGGAAACAAACATTGTTATTAAACTCCAGCTGTTGTCAGAAATTAAAAGTGAGAAGAACGACATATGTTAATTGTAATCAACAGTTTGCTACAAACATTTACTGACTTGGTTGAAATGAAATATTTACTATTTGAATTTGGGCTGGCGTAAATATTATAATGGAAAAAAGCGAGAGAGCCTGGATAATTTGATATACTAAAAAGAAAACGAAAACTGAATTAACACTGTGCTGCATTTCTCATTGAAAGAGCCGATTTGCAGACTATGGAAACATAGGAAAGTCATAGAACACCACAAAGGAAAGAAATAGAAATAACTTCTTTTTTTTATATTTATAATCGTTATTATGGACAACCTAATGCGACTATGAGTAAGGCTGTTTGTAGAAAACACTAAAAAACAAGATCAGCGTTTGAAAAATAATAAGATATTTACAAGCAATGTTGATCGATCTGTTGTGTACATCTTGAGTATTTCCATCTTTGAGTCGAATCTTTTAAAGTCATCAGAAATTATGACTGTCATTTGTTTTAAAATAACGCAGCTGTAATACTTAGAAATTGCTCGAATTCGAGCAACGGGTACACATATTTCTAGAAAACACTTACATAAAAATGTCTTACTTACCAATGTACTGCTGTGTGCCTAGTGTGATACAATAGATTTACTGGTTGTCATCAAACCCATATCACTTGCATGTTTCAGCCAAACAGTTTGGTGTGACAGAATTTGTCAACCCTCTGGACCATGAGAGACCAACTCAAGAAGTCCTTGTTGAAATGACAGATGGAGGGCTGGACTACACTTTTGAGTGTGTCGGAAATGTCAAAACAATGGTAAATTTCAATTTTATATATTATAGAATATGTGCTAAATTTTCATAACTTGATGTGTTCAAAAACCATTTAAAATTTTGAGATTAAAAACATAAGCTTTCATCCCGAAAATGTTGTTGAACTGGGAAAAATAAGGTAGACACAACTTGTAATTAAGTTGGAAATACATTATGACACCATTTGTGCAAGTTTGTTACTGAGTATTTGAATTGTCACAACAGTTGTCAAGACTCATACCAACACACCAACTTTAGATTAGGACTAAAAATGTTGTTGAAACCCTAAAAACAATTAACATTTGTAACATTGGTATAAATAAATTGCAAAGTAATCTTCTGCATTGCAAATGTAAAAATTTTAACTGTTGAATTGTTAGCCATAAATAGTATAAATTAGATACTATTTTGTAACATACAGGCAGATTTAGTCCAAACGTAGTCTACAAGACCGGGAAGTAGATGTTGTACAATGGTTCTGTAACTTGTAAACTATCATTGTTGCTGTGATGTTACAGAGAGCAGCTTTGGAGGCTTGTCACAAGGGGTGGGGTGTATCAGTCATTGTAGGGGTAGCAGGAGCAGGTCAGGAAATCGCTACTCGCCCCTTCCAGCTGGTCACCGGCAGAACCTGGAAAGGAACTGCTTTTGGAGGTTAGTACAAATCAAGTGTCATTTGTCATTCAATTGTCAAAAAGTTCTGATTGTGTATTCTCCTTCAAGAGTAATCTAGATCCATAACTTCCCCAAACCTTCATTATGACACCTTTCAAAATCAGTATCCATTCTGAATTTCAGGATCTCTTCTTTGCCCTGCAATTGCATCGTCAAGATTTAGTTTTTAGCGAATTTCCCATATAGGGAATAATCTATTACCGTAGTACTCATGGTAAGACCTGGACCCGGGACCGATTTACTTTTTCGTTTTGAGGTCCCTAGAGGCCAAATACACCATCCGTTCAAATTCATATATATATATATATATATATATTTATATATGTGTCCGTTAGCGCGATAACTCAAGCAAAACTCATCCGATTTTGATGAAATTTGGTACAAACATGTAAACCCACGTTTATTCAAACGAGTTCGCGAACCAGCATGATCGGACTATGGGAACAGGTGTTTATGGGGGGTTTTATGGGGTAAAAATTGGTTTTTCCCATTTTTAACCCTTAAAACTTAAAATTTAACATTTTCTTTCCAAACCATTTTGTAGAGCTTAAAAAAACAAATAATTTAGTATATTGAAGCGTTATTATGCGCCTAATGGTTACGGAGAAAATTCCAAAAAACTGTAAATTTAAAATTCCCATGTTATTCTTATGGAGAATAAGTAAACTGTTGTAGTTTGCTTGTTTATGAACATATTTTGATCAAATTTGGAAAATGCATTCATTTCATTCTAAACTATTAACATTTTACAAAAAAAAAACACATTTTACCCTCCCTGTTGCAGCAAACCTAAGTAGGTACTCGTTAAATTAATGTTATTTAAATAGGGAATAAATGTGATATTTTTAAGGAGACATTTTTGTGTAAATACAATCAAGCAAATGGAAATTCGCTTAGTCTGCAGGTTTGCAGCGGCGGGGGTATTTAAATCATATTATAGATTACCAATGAAAGTTATGTGTAAGTGCCAGATATATCCATGCACAACTTTTTGTGATATTTAAAATTACTTTGAACACATATTTTTGGGCATAAGAAAACGATGTGGACTTACAATTACACTACCTGCCTTGGTGTTGTTCATAGGGACTTGTCAGTTAATCACAAGCATAGTTAAAGTCCTTTGGTAACACAAGCGAAAACTCATAAACATTTTGTATGAAACCATCCTCAAAGATCTACGTCACTTAAGATGATCACAAAAGGTGACAACCACTTAATGAAGGAAAATATAAATATGCCATTCGAGATCAACTAGAATAATTTGAAGTACTTGTTTAACACACTAATTTATAAATTACCTGGTCAAAAATGCTGCTTGTAGGCTGGAAGAGTAAAGACAGCGTGCCAAAGCTGGTGGACCAATATTTGGCTGGCAAGCTGAAACTGGATGAGTTTGTCACAAATGTCCTCCCGTTTGAAAAAATCAATGATGCATTTGAAATGTTACATGCTGGAAAATGGTAAGCTGAATTTTAACTAATCTATTAAATATTATATATATAGATTTTAATTTCTATATACATGTGAGTAAGCTACCTATCCGGTACCCTTCCCATAGTTTGGAAATTTCTTTGGAATAAAACCTGACTTTTAAGGTGTGTAATTAAAGTAAAACCCCAGATTAATTACAAACAGAATAAAGGGAACAGAATTCATCTTAAAACTTAACTATGAACAAGGAATTGCATTATAATGGAATATAATAAACAAAGCTGAGTATTTACAAATAACATATGACAATAAACATATTAAACAATTAAATCATGTGAGGTAAGTTTAGTTGTATTTTATTCACTACATTCTCCCCTCCTAAATAGAGAATAGTCTTTCAGGTATTATGGAGGATATCTGATTCTTGATGTTCGCCTCAGTGTTGCTTGACCATCACTTCAAACATGAAGGACACAGAGTTTTGGTCCGTAATGAGTTTGAAGTGTTGACCAATAAGGAAATGTCGCCACATTTTCAGAGCTTCGACAATAGCATAAGCTTCTTTGTCAACAGCAAAGTGTCTTTGTTCACTTGATGATAAGGTTCTTGAGAAAAATGCAACAGGTCGACCGTTCTGGGAAAGGCTTGCTGCAATTGAATGCTCGGATGCATCAGTTTCAACATCAAAGGGGATATCCTCATCAATAGCAGAAATAGCTGATTTGATTATTTCTTGCTTCAGATTTTCAAAGCTTGCGGCAGCCTGAGATGAAACTGGAAACGTTTTAGTTTGTATTAAACAATGTACTTTTTCTGAGTAATGTGGGACCCACTTTGAGTAGTGAGACAGCATACCTATAGTTCTTCTCAGTGAAGCAGTGTCTGTAGGCAGCGGTAGATTCTGTAATGGTTTCAGTCTATCTTGATCGGGCCGGATGGTTTTATTACTTATCTCATATCCCAAGAGGTTTATTGACTTTATCGAATACCTGCTTTTGTTCTCATTAATAGTAAGGCCATATTTCTTGACAGCTTCAAGAAATTTGTCTAAGTTTGCATCATGGTCACGTTGATCATTTCCACATACCGTGATGTCATCGAGATATGCAAAAGTTCCATTTAGATTTTCAGCTTGAATTATATCATCAAAACAAACCTGAGCATTTACTAATAACATATGACAATAAACATATTAAAAAATTAAATCATGTGAGGTAAGTTTAGTTGTATTTTATTCACTACAAGGTGCATACAATAATGCATACGAAAATCTGCTGTAGAATCCCTTCCATAATGAGGTACAGAGAAAAATTGAACATATACTAGAAATAAAATCATGAATACAATCATAACTCATGACATTCCCATGTCACTAGCTGAAGCAGACCGCGAAAGTCAGAAATATACACAATATTATTATCCCAAGATCAGACATAGGCAGTGGTGTAGTGGGGTGGATTTTCTGTGATCTTGGTGAGCGTTCCCACACGTAACAATATACTATTTAACTATAGTTATGGTATCTATTCCTGTTATGTTGGGGCGTTGGCCTATTTTAAAATTGTAAGTGACATTTAAATAAGTGTCAATGACATGGCTATTATACAGGGTGTCCCGGAACTCTCTACCAATATTGTAATATTTCATGTCATTTCATTCATTATTTAGTATTAAGTTTTTTAAAATGTTAACTTTTGTTCATTCACCTTTGTTAATAATCACTCCTCAGAAAGGCTGTCCTAATATTAATTTTCCTAATTTATATAATTTCATTAATATGTTCAATTAATCATTAATAATATTCATTCCATAGCCTAAATATATATATTTTTTTACAAAGCCCACAACCTAATTATTTATTAAATATGTAAGAGAATTGCAATACATCCAAATTTCTTATAATATCATTGCAAAATTAGTCCTTAAGGAATCAAAATTTAAGAAGCAGTGAAAGTGATCCCATGTGTTCAACAATGAATGATGTGAACATGGATTGAGAGAGAAGGAAGCCATTAACTTGGAGAAGTTGAAATTGTTAGAAGAAGGAGTCAAATTTTTACCTAAATCAAATTCATTCATCAAGAAGACCAGTTTCAAGTTATATCACAGTAGCCTAAACCTCAAGAGGACTCAACATTGTTATCATTGTTATCTTCAAAATTAAGTATAACCTTATCTTTAAACTCTTTTAAATTTTGTGCTAATTGGAATTACCTTTTGGACAACACCAAAATTAGATTTTTTCATTGTTGGGATTGTGTAAGTTAAACACCTTAATTAGGCCTATACTTGGACACTATCAAATTTATTAATTCTTAGCATTCAAGCCAGCACGACACCCTACCCTGAGATATATCACATCTAAATTATTTGATTTGAACCTTCAAGTTATTATTCCAATTTATCTTTTATTTCAATTTAATTTCAACCCCACACACCATTGTCAATCCTTGTACCATTGTACAACCATTGTAACGTCAAGCCTTTTCTCATTGCATGTTAATTGGTCATTTGTTTAAATAAAACACCTTTTGTAATTCATATCTTTGTTAACTTATTAACTTTAAACATTTATAGAATAGGCCTAACCTAAAATGGATATTATAAGGTGAGTTAACAATATTTTAGGGCATAGTTCCTGGGTAAGAAACATATCTAAATATCATATTTAAATTGTCCGGAAGTCCTTAGTTACTCAGATAGCCGCCATTTTGTTTTTTTTTCAATTACTAATTTTTTCTGAAAATTGGTTAAACATACGAAGTTGAAACTTTGCACAAACATTTATGACAACTAGAAAAAAATACAAAAAAATTATGACGATTTTTAAAATTCATAAAACATAATGGCGGCTGCTTAAAATTTTGTTTCTTAAATTACTCAAAAACCGTTGATTTTACAAAAATTTTACAAAAATAATTTTTTTAAGTATGCGCTGCAACTAACCTCCAGCGGTCACGTATGACTAAAACTGCCATATCTCAGTTAATACTCGTCCGATCTTAAAGATTAAGGTGTCGATCAATTTGTAATAAAATTACCTTAAAAAAATTATTCTTGTAGAATTTTTGTAAAATCAACGGTTTTTGAGTGATTTAAGAAACAAAATTTTAAATGGCCGCCATTTTGTTTTATGAATTTGAAAAATCGTCATACTTTTTTTGTAGCTTTGTCTAGTTGTTATAAATGTTTGTGCCAAGTTTCCATTTAGTATGTTTAACCATTCTTTAGAAAAAAATTAATAACTGAAAAAAACAAAATGGGGCTGTGTGAGTAACTAAGGACTTCCGGACAATTTTAATATGATATTTAGGTATGTTTATTACCCAGGAGCAATGCCCTAAAACATTGGTAGAGAGTTCCGGGACACCCTGTATATTGTATATGCTTTTTTCTGATAGTAATTATTACCAACATAGGCTGTATGCAGAAGGTAGTAGAAATTTCAGATTGGGTATTATGGAAAGGTTTTGAATGCCTAATTTACATTACAATTATCACTGTATCATGATTTGAAATATTAGAGTGATGAACTTTACTGTTGTATAAGCTTAGCCTTGCAGCAACATTAGCCTGGTATTATAATACCATGACTTTTAAAGGCTGTACGGTTAAGTTATGGTCGTCTCCGAGGAGATCACCTGTCCAACACAATAGTCCGAATTTTCAACAGTCTAATTCTAATTATTACTTGTTTTGAGAAGATTGAAGTTACTTATCTTTCTGTTATTAATGAACGCTCTTTCTGTATAACTATTGAGTGTAAAATGTTACCAGTAACCTCATTGTAACACATAGTATTACTGTTACACCACATGGGATATTAATTTGTAAAGAGTCTCTACAATTTCTCTGTTATCTATGGTGTATCTAACTCTAGAATCTTTTTCCAGCATCCGAGTGGTTGTAAACTTTTGAAGAGCGAGATAGACTGCACAAACTCGCCAAACAAATACCAAATATGTGCCTATATGTTTATATCTCTCTTGCTTAATTATATGGTGCTCCTGAGACTATGTAATTCTTATATGTAACCAAAGGTTTATCTTATTTATTGGCATACCAAAATAAAAACTTAATTTTCATTGAGATTTCTCATAATATAATCTAATCCCCTTCTATAAAGAGATACATACAAGCTTGTGTACCATTCAGTGTCTTTATATTGTATGTAATTGTTGTTGTTTCTCCACACACCTGGTGCTTCACAATGCATGTGTGGAGATTTCCAACATCAACACTTGGAGTTTTAGGCCTAATGTTTTCCATTGAACAACCTCTTGATAGAAACTACTGTCATCCATTTTAAAGTTTCAGTGAGATTTCTCAGAAACAATGTATATTGTAGAGAAACTTTTGCCTGGGCTTGTGTTGCAGACATAATACCTAACAAATAAATTAGTTTGCCATTTGTTTGAAACTCAGGATCTTAGGAATAATAAATGACGTACAACGTATTTCAATAAATGCTTTGCTTAAAAGATATCCATTCTTTATTAAAAATAAAGCAACAAACAAAAACTAATGATTTGGCGACACATTACATTCTTGCAGTAACATCAACAGTTTACAATGCTCCATTTGCTTGTTATACATAACATGTCTCATTGACTAACACAAACGCACAGTCACACCATTAAATGCACATGAAATTATAATTGTTCCCGATATTGTTAATACCTATACAACAAACAAAGTGATAGATATTTGCTGGCAGTCATGTATCGCATATCGCACAACTTGATGAAGCCTAGCCGATAGACGTAAACTACTACACTAAGCGTACACAATAGCCTAACTAAACAGTACTATAAACGTACATAGAGACCTTTGGTCCTTAAATTAGGGGTCTGTTAAAATGAATTGATCAAATGTGGTTGTAGAGGGTGGCATCTAAAAATACTACACAAACAGTTTGGATGTAAATAACTCAAAAACAGTTTTTATAAATGATTTTATTATCTTTAATTTGTCATACAGCGAGTTTTTATAACGTTAGCCAAATGACAAGTACTGTGAGACACCTATAGAACGACAAAACAAGCTCATATGTTTGTATACCAGTTTTCTTCACTTCATTGCTTATCGGCTGATATGCATTGTTGCATTGTTGTCCATGAGGTTTAGTGTTTTAGGAATTTATAATGAATAAAACCATTGACTATTGGATGAAGATAAGACTCAACATGGTGTTTTCACAAGCTCAAGAGTATATATTGTAGAAGAATACTTAGAAAATGTATACCTACAATGCATACTCTATTAAGCTTAGAAAAACACTGATGAAGGCAATGAAGTGAAGAAAACAGGAATACCAACATATGGCCTTATTTTTTTGTTAAAATATGTCTCACAATACTTATAATTTGAGTTGCTTTAAAAAAAACACCCTGTATATAAAGAGACCCATAGTTGGTGTTCCTTAGGTTTTAATTTAAGAACCAGAACTGGGAACGGATTTTATTGACATTATAATGCTACAAATCTGAAATTACCATTATAATTTGATTACTTACAGACCCCTTTCTTAGTTAGACAATGGTAAAACTATTTACACATTCCTTCCATCCCACATGATATTGTTGTTAACTGTACCTTATTACCTTTTTTTTTAGAATAATATCAAGAGTGATAAGGATGTGACCAATCCTCGCCACTTTCTAATGAAGGGCCAGGATTTCAATGTATAGGTCATTTACGTTTGCAGAAGTAATGTCAAGTTTTGCTTAACACTTGCAGCACAGCTTTTCTTTACTAAGTTCAACTTCCTTGCAATGGTGTAATCTGGACTAAGCTGTGGTGATTTTATTTTGCAACTGAAACCTTAGGTATTTATTGAAAAGAAAAAAAAACTAAATTGAGTGTACAGTAGTTTTATATGACACTGACATGACAGATTCTAAACATAAATGCTAGTAAAGCAATTTGTTAGATGTATGGTAGTTTCGTGGTTTTTTGCCATGGATTAAAAAGATGCTGTTAACAACAAAATCAGGCAGGAAGAAGAAAAAATACAATAAATTTTAACCTATCAACAAAATTGTAGTAAATATCCTAATATCATCAATAATAGATTAGTATCTCAACAATATATTAACAAAATAGAAATATATTTTGATGTACATTTTAAAACTTTTACAACCAACACGTTCAACGCTACAATAATCAGGCAACTCTCTTTTTTTTAGACAATGCCTAAAACATTTTACATTAAATAAAATTGTTCAGTAAGTTTTCTGTTCAACATACTTCCATATTTGTGATGAGACTTTTAGTTCATAAGCTTAAATTTTACTTTCAATGTTTAAGTTGATCTTAAAGCTCAAGTCATTCCCTCTTTGATTCCACTCATACTATAAAAGTTAGATTTAGTATTGTGTATGAATTTTTCATTGTAGGTGTTCTGTTTCAATTTGTTAACAACAAATGTTCACTGAACAATTTTATAAATTATCTGGGACAATCATTCCTTAATCAATTCAACTGTGCTGTCAAACACCTAATGCTTAACTAGTATAATATTAACATAAACAACACGGAGTACGGTACCAGTAAATAACTATTTTGTACACTTTACAAATCAATGTGTCTAATGTATTTATTTAGTGACTATACCAGACTAAACATAGATCCTTGCACCAAAGCAGACTTTCCTAACAGTCTGAACATTCAGGCAGTAAGTTGATGGAATTGTTAAAATTAATTATTCAGGTTTGAACCTATGAGTCTAACCGAGCTATGGAGATAGGAGATGTAATGGCTGTAGGCCTACAGTAATGTTGAATACCGGTACAGTATTTCATGAACACAGAACTACAGTTAAAACTTAGTGGAGTAACTCTATAGAGGCTGCAAAACATTCACTAGACAGACACTTAATGTTTTCAATTCTTTTACATGGCTTAGTTACACATAACCCAAGTTCAAAAGAAAGTCGTTGCCAATTGTGTTTTGAATGTTCAGATATCAGTATATTTATTTTTATAATGTTATGTAAAGCGCTATGTTCTGTTTCTTAATAAATGTCTATTGTCCCTTTCGAGTTTTTGTTGAAAAATGATTTCTTGGTGGCAATCCTGTAGTATAACATTTTAAACATACTCAATTGGAGTAATTCACTACTATCTTGTTAACATATAGGACTTATTATTGCCAAAATGATGCATCTTAACCATTTGATTAAGATTACACTCTTTCACGTAATTCATTAACATTCTCTTCAATTAAAAGAGGCAAAAGATTTACTTCAAACACTATCTTTGAAATTATTTTTTATAAAATTAATTTCTCTAGACATAAAACAGAAGAAGTTATACAATCAAGGCTCTCACTGTAATACTTTCAGGACCTGACAAATATATATCAGGTAGGTAACTTTGTCATTGATGCATATTTCATTAAAAAATGTAACGGGCTTAGATTAAGTAAAGGTAGCATCAAGGTTTTCACTTCAAAATAAAAATATGTAATCAAAGTGTAAATTCAGTTTGGAAATAGAATGCACAGCACCCAGCCTGTGGTTAACATTTACAGGTAGAAAAACATTCTTGACTTTTCACTAATACAATTACAAATATGAAACTATGCTTTATCTTAGAAGACAGAAAAGCTGTATGATTCTAAAACATTCAGAACACAATTATTGTAATGTCAGGTATGAAAAACTAAAGTTTCAAAATATTTATCACAAAATATACTCACAACATACAAGTTTAGGCCGATAAAATGCCAATCAACAAATCAAACATCAACATTGGTTCTGCATTATATAAAAATAATCCATGTCCTTATATGTTTGAGTAATTAATTGACTTAATTCAACTGCCCCCAAGGCATGATATAACTATAACGAGTAAGACCCTGTACTTTGTCAGCATGTAACTTATTGGTTTGAATTGAATACTGTACATTAGAAAATAACTCTGTGAAGACCAAATCTCAACAGAACCAAACCAATTCAATCAAACCAATTTAACAGTGTTAGGATCGGTTCTGTTTCTGTCTTAAGGAGGCATATTGAAAGTAGTTTTAGCACCTTGAGTGAACAAAATATTTTTCTATTTTACGTAAAACTTATCATATTTCTAAAAATAAGGAAAATTATGTTTAATCAGCTTAGTTGCTAAAGCAACACACCTTTGAACAATCTAAAATCTCATAAATGCAGGATGTCTCTGAAATAGTATTCTGTCAATAAAATGTTAAATGTTAAAAAACATTAATAAAATTTGTATTTATTTTTCTTAAAGATCCCTTCTAACTATTTGGATCCTGGCTTGACATTTACATATTATGCCAGTGATGTGACAAGCGAGAGTTTACAGTGAGGGTTAGCATAATTAGCCGTGTGGTTCGACACTATTCTACACAGTACAGAGCAACTACAATGCTTGATATGGTTTGTTTGTACTGTTGGTGCCCTTAACTGGAAAAAGACACAGGTACTTTTGAAATACAAGCAGGGGCGGATTTAACATTATTTCTTTTTAATTGCTTTCAACAGGTTTCAATTATTTTCTTTCCAGCCCACTTAGTTGATTGAGAATGTGAATCCTTAAAATTACTTCGCGACCAAAATGAAAAAAAAAATAGTTTTTGGTAAAATAAAAATGGATTGTCAATGTTTTGTACCTTCTTAAATAGATTCAATATGATATCCACTCCAGCATTAAACAAATTTATCTTCATTCAGAAAAATCTTGTATGAATCAATTATGTTCAGAAAATTATTGTCTGAAAGTCTGGATAAGAATAGTTGTCATTAAAATCTAGTGTTTATAATTTCTGTTTGCTACCTTCGCCTATGAATAGAACTTAAGTGTCCCAAAGATAATGGTGCTACTGAATAAAAAGCTAAGCTCATTGGTACAAATGTTCTTATCAATCATTTTTGCCATCTGGATTGCTTATATGATAATTGATATTAAAAGGCCTTGCCTTAGCAATAAAACAGGATTGCTAAGGTAAGGCCTTATAATATTAATTAATAAATTATTTCCTGATGTTTATGCTCCTTTATTTCAAACAGAGCCATATTAGGGACATTATGTTTTTGTGTTTGAAATTTTAATTTATTTCCCATATCGCTTTCATTATATCTCCTAATAATCTTTATTAAGTACAGCTGATTTTCATCCTTCATTGTAAGTTTTAACTTTTACATTTGGCTGTTTCTGGTTGTGTCTTAAACCCGGCCCTGAGAAGCACCATTTTGAAAACGCTACGAATAAAAATTCTAGTTAATCTATTTGTGACCATAGCTTGTGTTGGGACCACAGTACATTGTAATAGTGCATTTATTTACAAAGAAAAGATTACTCATTATCAAACTATGAGTGAACGTACAACATCTAAGGTTTGGCAAAGGTATTGTGTCAAATAGCATGTATTTGTTCCCCCTTATGATTCTTGTCATATTTACATAATTCAATTGAATTCCTTCTTTATAATATTTTATTAAAGATGCTAATTTCAGAAACATCCTTCATAAAAAAGGTGGACACTACTAAAGTCATTATTATTATTGATAATAAGAATGAGGATATATCTATACTGCAACAAGTGTAAAAATAATAAGGCAACTTAAGTATCTAGTTTTAATTTCTAGTTCAAAGTGTAATATAAAACTAGTCGAGTTGTATAAACAAAAAAAAACTTCAAATTGAAATATTCACCCGCTCGCTCATGATACAGTTATATTCAATGTAACACATCAATTGTTTTTTTTTATGAAACAAACAAAAGATTTGGTCTAACGTGAGCCCCGATGCCTTATAAACGTGACTCCTGTGAAAATTATTTTTTTTTTAACTCAAATACTGTCTGCAAAAACAGACAATGTTATGAGACAGTGGCATAACTTACTCCATAAATCCTGTCTTGTAGGAGCTCAAGCATTCATCAACAACCTCAATATTTTCATTAAAATCAATCTCAATATTAGTTCACAAAAATGTTATCCAAAATGTTGTGTTATTATTATTACACTTTTTTTGAAAACAGAAGTGTGCCTATACTTTTTTTACCAAAACAATTCAATGTTAATCTGACCGGTTGAGGTTTGTTATGCTACTGAGCTGAATGATTGGTTATGAGCTAATTAAGGGAGTGTCTGCCGAGGAGAAAATAGTAAAGAAACAATATGATTAAACTCTGTCTACTGGCTCTATGCAACTTAGTATTCAACAATAATGTATAATACTGTGCCGAATATTGAGTGCCCAGCAGTCAATATTGAATGAAATCTTACCTTCCAGATCAACTGGAAACATCCATAGCAAAGTTATCAATAGCATCGACAATCATGATAAAGGAATACTTGTATACAAACACTAGAATATTAGTGAAACACGTACCGTAATGTTCTTGTGTGTTTTACAAAATCGTTGATTGTCAGGGTGTTAAACAATAGACAAATGCTGTATACTTTCAAAATAAACTACCAAACTAAGATAACGAAGAAAGAATCGGAATATTTAATTGTTTTAATTGCAGATGGCTTAAAAACTTCTTAGTTACACAATTTAGAATTCTTAGATTTCATCAAGTGGTAAGTGAATTTTTTCGTATGAGTAACTTACTAATGACTAACTCGTGGGAATGGCATTTTCATATTTCAAAATAGTGTAGTTAGGGTACAAACACATTCCATGGTGCAGCCATGCACAGTACGGCCTGTAATGATGCTCCAAAGCTTCCGTGTTGAACAGTGAGGAGCATAGCTCGGTATATGACCGCTGCTCTTCATTTGAGAATGTTAACATTTTTTCTAGTGTCTTCACAATTTTGGAATGATAGACAGTGTAACCACAACTGTTGAAGTATCTCTATGTTATATAGTCATACCCGTTTGTATAATTTTTCTTAGTTTTAAAAAGTTGATATTTGTACTGGCTAGATGTTAAAGAAGTTCGTCACTTATTTGTGTCCAACTGTGTTGGATTTGTTTGTACCCTGACTCTGACTGTGGTATGCATAAGTGTGATAGGTAGTGAAAGCAGCTAGTAGTTTAAAATATATAAAGTATCTAACAACCTTTTACTGAATCAATTAACATTTCATTTTTACCAAACAAATCTTTGTTTTTGGTTTATTACATTTTAATGTAAGAAACTGTTACTTTTATTTTGAACAGATAACAAACCACCTGAACAATTCCACCAAATGCACAAGGAAAAACTACAAAAATATTTTCTTCAACAAGATATCTTACTATTAAAGAACTAATCTGCACTTCAGCAAAACTTCATTGACCATTTACATAGTTTATAAGCTGTATTAAGTAATTATTTCTATGATAGATGAGGAATAGTAAAAACAGTTTATGTAATAGGCATCACATAGACACGACATAGACATGTAGACAATAAACTTGTAAAAGACATGTAGAAGCATTCATTTAGTTACAATTTTAAGAAAACTAAACTTCAAGCTTTTATATTATTATCTGAATGTATAAAGGTAAAAATTACTAAACAAATTTGGTAAAAGACTATAGGAACCAAAACAGTTTAAATAGTGAGGCTTTTTACAGTGTAAAATAGGAATAATGAGCTGAAGAAATTAAGAGATATGTGTAATCTACTATCCAATACATTGGCAGTGAATGTCTTGTTTAGGAATTTTCAAACTACCGGTAACATATTATCTGTAAGAGATGGTGAACATTTTATAATACTTTGCAAGACAGTTTGAACAATCTACTGACTGTGAACATTCAACATTTATTGGCCAAGGTTATTAATTTCTCCTCACATTGAACTTACTAGTTTAAATAGAGATAAATTGTTGGAAAACCATAATCACAAATATTTATTGAAGTCTCTAACAGTGATTTAAAAACCATTCGGCAATTGAATGTTACAATTTGGAAATCAAAGAATAAAACATTATTTTACAAATAGATTAGTAGATAACCACAGCTATGTGCCCAAAACTATTCTCTGCTTTATACAGGTGGTGTATTTTCAACCTATTCTTTAATACTGATTTTTAACAACTCATATTGTTGCTATTGAGTCAGTCATAAGATGCTAGAGCAGATCAGTACCCTGAGTTGATATCTCATACACCCTCATCACAGCTAGGTTAAGTGAAAAGTTTATCTATTTGATAAAAAATACATACTTTTTTATCGGCTATGCATGATTGGTAATGTAAGTTATTGTAAAACCTATAATCACAGTATTGTAAATTATTGTTAAACTGATATTTTCAAGCTACTTTTGTAATATACCGTTGCTGATTGTGTAATATAATTTTAAAAACTTCATCTGTAAAATGTAGTACTTAGTACACAGCTACTACCTCTTTTTCTCTGAATTATTTTTTTATAAGTGTATTTTAATGGTTTATGAAAGTGCAGTTTTTCCATCACCAATCTATGCATAGTCAAACAACAAGTAAGAATAAGGCATTCCTAACTCATTTTCAGAGCTTTAAAGCTAAAGCAATAAAAAATGACCAAATTCAAACAGCCTTACTTTTATCTAATACATAAGAACAGTTACACTGTTATAAACATGGCATTAATGATTTGTCTTTACAGTTTAGTTTATACAACATTGATAGTGTTGAGTAGTCGGGAACGTTGCGTACAGCAGCCAATGTCTACTAGACGGTGTCCACCTCGTGGCAAACCTCCATGTAATCTGGGTGGTGCATGATGTCCTTTATCAGGTCCTTTAGAATGGTGTATCGTGGGAAGATGGGGTACACCTTAGAGTTCATATACTCGATCTGCAATCACAGAAACATATATCATTCGAGATTTTTAGTCTTTCACTTATTAAAAAAATATGTTCAGTTCATGTTATTCCTCCCAGTGTTATTCTGTGATGTGGGTTGAGAAGTAATTATTTTATAGCTTTTGGTTGTAGAATACTTTTATTAGGTACTTTCGTTCTTACTTTTACAGGCTATAAGTTACTCCTGTACTTTAAGTCATAAAGTGCCATATTTAGTTTGGTTTGAATAATGTTTGGAGTTAATGATTTTTTAGGCTGTGTATGTTGGTTTGGGACATGCTCATTGTAATTCAATTTGCATATTTATGAATTGTAATCTGCAGTATTAAGCTTAAAACAAAACTGTTTAAAAAATGTTTCTTTAAACATTACAAATTAATAATATGTTTCATACTTTAGTTAGGAAACCCCATACCTTTGTTCATACCTGCAGTCTTATAAACAGCAGTCTCCGAGGATTACTAGTTTTGGGTCATAAGACACATTCCCAAATCTAACATCAAATTAGTCCATGAAATCCTACAGAAGTCTTCGTCAGGAAATAAACACACGTCAAAACATAAAGTTCACATTTACCAAAAAAACATTTTTTTTCTGCAGTAGGCTAGACACATTTAATCACGGGACAAACCAACACAGACCAACAAACCTTGCAGCCTGTGTCGGCTATTCATTGCGATTACATGTGGCCTGCCTACCGTTTTATTGAGATGTTTTTTATGTTAAATGTGAACTTTACTTGTTGACGTGTGTTTATTTATTGATGAAGACTTCTGTCGGATTTCATGGACTAATTTTAAGTTGGATTTGAGAATGGGTATTATGACCCAAAAACTAGTAATCCCTAGACTACTGTTTATAAGACTGGAGACGGACAAAGGTACGTAACCTGTTATAAATTCATACAATCAGTCTTGGTGGCAAGAATGTTTTATACTAAAATTTTAGTTTTTAATAGCCCTGAACAGCAAGAAGAGACATGTATTGACTGTGAAACCAAGGTGATGTCTTGGATGAGTATCACGGATCCCAGTGCTGGCACATCAAATTCAGTACCAGTAAAGTTCATTCCTGTTCTATAAAGACTCACATCTTGCATATGGACAAGAAAATATAAAGTTTAACAAACATGCCAAAAATATGAAAGTAATAAATAAATGTTCTGCTGACACAAATTTGATCACTAGCATTTTATTTATACATTTTCTGACAAACTACCACAGGGATAGTTTGTTGTTTTTTTTTTAGTATTTTAGTTGTGAAACTAGAGAGGGGTTATTTTGTGAAAATGAAAGGGTAATGTAACATGAGAGAGTTTAAATCAAGAACAAGATATAAAGTGTCATAGAGGAATCTTCAGTAAATGCAAAGGAAGAGAAAGTGAGTGTATTACAAGTTTCCCACTGAGCTAAAGTTTGACGAAGGATGGAAGAGAGTAGGTCTTGAATGTTTGATGAATAAAACTGATCAAATAACCTGACTGAATATAAACATAAGAAAATATTGTTACACCTCCTCGCAGGGCCGGACTTAGGGCTTCAGGGGCCCCGGGCAAATTTTCCAATGGGGCCCTAGGTCTTCAGTGTTTGGGGCCCTCCGGGGGGATTGGGGGGTATGGAATACCCCCCCCCGCCCAAGCCAAAGGGGGGTCCGGGGGTCCTCCCCCGGGGAAAATTTATAAATTTAGGCTTTAAATAGAGAAATTTAAGGCCAAATAAGCAATAAGTTCTATATCAAAAATCGTTCTTAAAATATAACTATTTTAACATATTTTTATATACCGTACAGCATCTTTTAATGTTATACACAAAAAATAAAAATGTTTGAAACCTTATCTCTTGCATTCACTATTTAAAACACTCTGACCAAATGTTTCAATTGCTTTGTAGTACCAGTGACGGCATATTTGGTATGGTAGCATGGTAGGCTACCATAATATATTTGGATTAGAAGCATTGATATATTTTTGTTTATTACGTATTTAAATTATAGATTATTGCCGTCAATTTGTATGATTTTTCAATATTACTACAATATAGGTGTGATTATTTTATTTTTATAATCGTTTTGGTACCTATGGCATTCTTGTTTTCATAATACTGTATGTTAAAGTCGTAGCATGAAAAGTACCATTGAGGACTTTCAAGTTTGAGTTTTTTACTGACGAGCAAAATCTTGCAATGTCTAATAAACACTCACAAGCTAACTATTTATATGAGTAACTGAAAGATGGTTAAATGGTTCCAATATCGATTAATACAACACAAACATAGCATTGAATACAACATTACTCACTTCAGCTTTGTTTTTGTACTGTTAGTTTGCAGAATTACAATAAAATAACTCAAAAAGTAAGACAATTTCAACCAACTTGACGTGACCATTAGTCTCAAAGAACAAACTATGGGAGTAAAGTGATTTAAATTGATTTGAGTAGGCGAAAGACATTTTATGTGTGTGTATGCGAGTGCGTGAGACAGACAGGACTAGACAGGATCCCTTATCAGCTCATTATCATTGATTGTTGCGGCTGTTAACATCAGACGACTCTAGTTGTTTTAAAGTGTCTATATAGATTTTAAAAATCTTACTGGCGCTGTATGATTTTGACTCCAATGACTAAATTGGAGATCAACATTTCGACGCATAACTAGACTTAATTAATTACCAGTTTATTTTTAGAAGTATTTGAACTCCAGTAAATCTCCATTCAACACAACACAATTTTACAAGATACGTTCTACACTGGGACAAGAGTTTTCATATTTATTGTATTTTTGTCCCAAGCGCGGGCCCCCCTTCAACTCATTCGCCACGGCCGTACATTCGGGCGAGCGGCTTCATTGAAACTGAAACTTGTCCATCACAGCCTAGCACATATGCTCGTGTAAACCAGGCCTAAAGGCGTGGGGCCCAGTGCAACTCTGAGGAAAAGTCCCTTAGGGTCAAGAATTTCGTTCCTATTAATGCCTTAAAATGTACCTAAAAATAACCTTAAATATACGATAGCGAAAATAAAAATAAAGCTGTTACAAAAGAAGGCCATTTGGTAAGTGTCTGATAAATTTTCGAAGTTATTAATAAAAACTACTGTGCAAGGGGGCCCCTGTCGGGGCCCCCCTTGGCCCAGGGGCCCCGGGCGATCGCCCCCTCCGCCCATAGGTAAGTCCGGCCCTGCCTCCTCGCTCAAACTGAATGTGAGTTTGATTTAAATGATTTGTTTTGTACTATTTTTGACACTGGTTGAATTTTTCTAGTAAACTTCAACCATGCTGAAATTTGAAAAAAAAGGATTCAAATAATTGGCTTCTACCTAATATTTAAAACATATGTTCTATCCTTTGTTTGAAGTTCAAACAAAGAAATATAAAACAAAGGGAAATATACAAAGGGAATATTTTCTATTAGTTCCCGTTGCTGTACCTACCATTTGCTTTTAATCTAAGCAGAGCTTGGATTAAAAATCCATTTATAAAATTCTACTTATTTACTCAACATATTGCTAAAAAAGTTTAAGAAAAAAAACAATTTACTAATAGTCATGGAAAACCTTTTTAACTTGATTTGGTAATAAGAAAGTTATTAGTTATTGCAGCTTGTCAATGGAGTCAAAGCTGATTCCTCAAATGACCATGAGGAACATTACTAAAGATCACATACTAAATATTAATTAAATCTGAGCAATTACTTAACACTAATACCGAAACCCCGGTCTGACAGGCCCACGGGAATTTTCAAAAACGCATGTTGGCAACACTGTTTACTTGGTAGATTCCATTCCCCCAATACCTTCCCCCTTTTCCTTCCCTACCTATTGATATATCGTTTGTTCATTTTGCATAGGTGCCGTGACCTTGACAGGTCGTCTGTTCATAACATGTCCGTCTCAGAAGCCAAGCGTTAGTGTATTTTAAAGCGGGGTCTCACAGACCGAGGGTTTCGGTTTGTGTGTTTCTAAACAGGGTCCAATATTTTTCAAATGGGGTCTCACAGACCGGGGGTTTCGGTTAACGTCAGCCTTGGTGGGGTTTCGGTAGTAGTGTCAATAAATTAGGTAAGGTACTCACACAACGTGCAAGCCCCTTCACTAAACATAGTGGCAACAAATTACTTAGAGTATCTTTTATCTAATCAAGGAAACATATAAGTAATTTATCTTGTGACAACTAGAAACAATTTCTCATGTAGAGTTTAAGAAGTTTATTTTGCCATGTATGTAAAATAACACAATATAAATACCTAATATATGGAAGTAATGTGGTCTGACTAAAGTATTGCCAACTACAAACGAAAGAATTCTTCCTTCAGATGAAAGCAAATGTTATCCAACACTCAACTAATAACCTGTGTTCCAGGAAAACATTCTTGCTTTCTTCTAGAATAACTAATCACTTATTACAAACCACTCAACACAGACAGTCAAATAGGTTTGTTGATTGAAAAATATCTGTTCAGCTGATTTATATTTGGTTGTTCAAAACCTAAATTTGAAGGAAACATATGTAACAAAACAACTTTTGTTGATAATGTTCAAACATTACATCAAATAATTTTGCCTTGGTAAAATCTATCTATAAGTATAAAAGAGGATGTTTGTATATATATTTGTTTGTTTGTTTGTTTGGGGGTGATAAACTCGGACACCGCTGAACCGATTGCCACGAAACTTGGTACATACGTGTAGAATGTCATGGAATAGGTTTATACACCATCAATTTCGTGATCCGTCTAATCGGCTCCGCCCCAGTGGATCTAGAGTTTCCCATGTTAACCTTATGAGAAATGGAATTAATGAATCTTAACAGCTGTTTCAATTAAACAAGTTGGTTCTGTTCTATGATGTTCAATAGCTTTAAAGTTACAAGGATTGCCAACAGGGTGCAGCACTATTATTTCTTTTATATTTATGACAACTGCCAATTTGCAACCAAAAGGTGAGTGAGCGTAGCGAACGAACTTCAACCTGGAGGCGAGTTAGCGTAGCGAACGAGCTAACCTGAAGGCAAGTGAGCGTAGCGAACGAGCTAACCTGAAAGGCAAGTGAGCGCAGCGAACGAGCTCCAACCTAAAGGTGAGTGAGCGTAGCGAACGAGCTCCAACCTAAAGGTGAGTGAGCGTAGCGAACGAACTTCAACCAGGACGTGATTGAGCCATGCGAACGAGACAATTAAACGTAACGGTACTTAAATTATAAATAGTCAAAGGCAAGACAACGTCTGCCGGGTTCAGCTAGTTTCTTATAAAAATGTTAGTGCTCATGATGTTTATTTTGATAATAATTTGTTCATAAATCTGAAATTTGCTCTTGAGAATAAGATTAATATGAAGATACCCGTGTGCAAATTGCACAGTCTAGGGTCCAAAACTTGTTTCCAAGGCAAAATAAGTCCAGTGCAATACCCATTTACTTTTTCAAGATTATGTTTGTTTAGAACAGTTGTCAGGTGATTCGAACTACTGTTTTACAATTAATTTGTTTAATATAGATCTACACTATAAAGAGAGTGATTTAACTACTTCAATGAGGTCACAGTTGTCATTAAAGTAGCCTATTTGTTTTACATTTGTATAAACTGTTTAGTTGTTTAGAATCTGACTGTGGTTACACATTCAACTGAAGGAACAGCTGTTAAATTACAATTCACATCTAAACCGTTGTTAAGAAAGTGGATTTAAGTGAATCTTTTAAAATACTCTAGAAATAAATTAAATGTTAGGGGACAAAATCCTTAAGAAAATTAACTTTTTATTATCCATTCACAGGTGTGTTAGACCAAAAATGAATCCTCTATCTCAATCATAAAAATCGGTTACGTTGGATGGCTGAAAAAGGGATGTAACAAGGAAAAACCTTATTGTATTAAGTATCAATTCGTCTCACATAAAAATACATTTTTATAAAACATCTAAAAATATTTATTCAAATGAAAAGACATATTTGTCAAAATACCAACTGCATCCTTTACTCTGATTTTGCATTTACCTTTAATTCTCTTATGAGATTTCTAAGGCCGGAATATTTCTTCAGCAGACGGTAAAGATCGTTGGTCATCTGAGTGTTTTCTCCTTCGATTTGCGCTGTTGTCATATCTGCAAGCAAAGTTAATGTTGTCGAGGTTGGTACATAATCATATAATGTATATGGTATCGGTACAAAACCTTTTAATATTATATAAAAAACCATAGAAATAAAAAAAAAACAATAAAAAATATGAAATACAGGTACTGCTTGAAAAAGTAACTTGTACGGTACCTAAGCAAACAAATCTTCAACTTCTAACAAAATCAATAAATTATTATTGCAGTGAGCCCTGGCTGGCTGCGGCAGAGCCATAAAAGACTGTGTAAGGTTTAAGCATTGACTATACACCTCATAGTTGTTAGGGTAAGGTGAGGTGGAGGGGATTTCACGATTTTTATTTCAGCACCAGTTTTTCAATACAGACAAAAAAAATTACAGCATATTGGCCGCCATGGCGTGCATAGTTTTGATCATAGTTTTTAGTTAATATGATGGACTAACAAGTCATATATATTAAATGTAATTAATTAAATCACACTAACTCTATTTATTTAGGTAAAACAAGTTAAGCAAAATAACACAAAATAAAACAACCTCTGAAACCTACACAAACACTGCATGCCAATATTTAACTGAGGTGCTGAGGTAAAGAGTCATGTTTAACTTTCCAAGATTACTGTAAAGCTTTCATTACCGTGTCTGGCTGATCCTTTGACACAATATAGTTCTTGATTGTTTCTGACAAGTCTACTTATGCGTAATGTTGGATAAATCTCACATAATAAAGCATGATTAGATACATTTTGATCCATAGCCTAAAAAAGCAAGCATTTTTATTATAAATAGTCAATTTTGTTTATATCAAACTGTAATAATTAATTGTTTTACTGGATAACAGTCAAATAAGTTAATCCAGAATATAGTAATTAGTGGCAAACAATTTCTGTTTACTCCAGGTTTACTTAACTGGTTTCTTAACGGTTTCTGTTTACTTAACTGATGGAGATTTAAATAAAATCCATCACTAAAGTGACAAATGTGTTCTTTAAAAAGTTGCTCATTTGAAGCCTGGGATGTGTGAGAAAAAATCCTATCCAGAAGACCACAATCAACATCCAAGGAATTTACCTTCTTAGCAAAAAGAACAAATTCTGTGTTAGCAAACCGTACCTGTTATTGGCTATCCCTTCATATTAAGCTACATCAATGAGGATTTTGGATAATTTTATATACAATTACCACTGAGCCTCTCCATTCTTTCCCTTCGTTTTTCCTCCTCTTCGGCAATCTTGGCTGCGGTCTTCACTCCTTCCCCAGATTTCTGCGTTTTTTCCATGATGGCACAAGCTCGTAGCACAAACGCTGGAACTGTCTCCTGTTTCTCCTGTTTTGGTATCTCCACAAGCGCCCAGTACTGGGTCTCCAGGCGAATTACTTCCTAGTAAACACGTGATTTCATAGCTTTACTATCTTTGTAGCCGATAGTGTCTATACTCTAATATCATCGGTGTAAATACTACTCCAAATAAAATCCTACAAAAAATCTTCAATTTAAATACAATACAACTAAGTGTTCGGTACTATGAATTTTACAAACTTTAACTTAAAAGAATTCAAAATATCAGAATTTTAAATATTTATTTATTTTATAGTATGGTTGCCATTACAGTTAAAAGTATTACAAGTAATTTAAGTATTACATGTAAAAGAATTTAAGGTATGTTTTAGTACAATGAAATAAACGGTATCCCATCAGTAATCTGACATAACAATTCTCCCAATAGTTTGTCAACAATGCTTATCATGTGTTAGCTGTGGGAGTTGTAGGCTACATTAGCTGTATGGGCTAACAGTAACATTTCTGTCTAAGGAACATGTCGGCCTTAGTCAGTAACAAGAGACTACAACAACGCGCCACTCATCCTACACTCATCTCCATTCACTTGGCTTAAAATACCTACCTTCGTATGTTCGCCATTTCAAAGTAAAGTACTAAAAAAGTATAAAGTACTATGAATAGGGGGAAACAGTAAAAATTTGTTTTGGTGGTCCTGTAAATTTTTTAAATTATTACCTTTACATTTACTTAATGGCATGGAAAAATAATAATTTTTGTGTAGCCCTACTTTTACTATTTTTACTTTCTCCCCCTATACCATAGTATATGGAGAAAGTATTGTTTTCGTCAAAATTTTCGAGTTTGAGTTTTGAGTGGATGTATTCGTTTTGGGTCCCCCTGGACCCAAAAAAGTGGTTTTCGAAGTGATGTCTGTGTGTGTGTGTGTGTGTGTGTGCGTGTGTGTGTGTGTGTGTGTCTGTGTGTCTGGATGTGTACAGAGCTAGAGACTACACCTGTGGTCCGATTTCGATGAAATTTGGTATGCATGTTCTAATCCATGGTATCTCGAGGCGTTTTTTTCATTTTTTTGAAATTTTGATTTTTAATGAGGATTTTCCCATAAAAACCCATTAAAAACTGGAAAAATCGGATTTTCTCAAAAATGGCCCGAACGATTTTGATAAAAATTTAGTATGTTGTAGCCCTTTACATTCTGAACAAAATGGTACAAATACCATTTCTGTAAAAATTACGGTTCAAAAGTTATTGTAAATTATGTTATTTTCCCATAAAAAAACCCCATAAAATAATGAAAAATAGGGTTTTGGACAAAAATCCGGTTTTTATTTAACATAGTATGTTATGGTCCTTACAATTTTTATAGTTTTTTTTAATTTTTTTTAATTTTTATTTTTAATGGGGATTTGCCCATAAAACCCCATAAAATAACGGAAAAATCGGATTTTCCCAAAATTGGCTCGAACAATTTTGATTGAAATTTAGTATGTTATAGTCCTTTAAATTCTGAACAAAATTTTTCAAATCCCATTTCCGTATATTTACTCTCACCGCTTACACACGATGAAGGCTGTTGACAAACTTATGGGAGAAAGTATGTGTCAGAATGCTGATACCGTTTATTTACTTTCTCCCCCTATACCATAGTATATGGAGAAAGTATTGTTTTCGTCAAAATTTTCGAGTTTGAGTTTTGAGTGGATATATTCGTTTTGGGTCCCCCTGGACCCAAAAAAGTGGTTTTTGAAGTGATGAATGTGTGTGTGTGTGTGTGTGTGTCTGTGTGTCTGGATGTGTACAGAGCTAGGGACTACACCTGTGGTCCGATTTCAATGAAATTTGGTATGTAGGTTCTAATCCGTGGTATCTCCAGGCGATTTTTTCATTTTTTTGAAATTTTTTTTTATGTGGATTTTCCCATAAAAACCCATAAAAAACTGGAAAAATTTGATTTTCTCAAAAATGGCCCGAACGATTTTGATAAAAATTTAGTATGTTGTAGCCCTTGAAATTCTGAACAAAATGGTACAAATCCCATTTCTGTAAAAATTACGGTTCAAAAGTTATGGTAAATTATGTTATTTTCCCATAAAACCCCCATAAAATAACAAAAAATAGGATTTTAGACAAAAATCTGGTTTTTATTTAACAGAGTTTGTTATGATCCTTACAATTTTGATAGTTTTTGTCATTTTTTAGAAAATTTTATTTTTAATGGGGATTTTCCCATAAAACCCCATAAAAAACTGGAAAAATAGGATTTTCTCAAAAATGGCCCGAACGATTTTGATAAAAATTTAGTATGTTATAGTCCTTTATATTCTAAACAAAATGATACAAATCCCATTTCTGTAAAAATTACGGTTCAAAAGTTATATTAAATTATGTTATTTTCCCATTAAATTCCCATAAAATAACGGAAAATCGGATTTTCCCAAAATTGGCTAGAACGATTTTGATAAAAATGTAGTATGTTATAGTCCTTTAAATTCTGAAGAAAATTGTACAAATCCCATTTCCGTATATTTACTCTCACCGCTTACTCATGAGAAAGGTTGTTGACAATCTTATGGGAGAAAGTATGTGTCAGAATGCTGATACCGTTTATTTAGATAGGGGGACATAGTTTAATAAGCCATTTAGAGTGTACTACTACCACAATTCTATCTTCCCTTCCACCTTAGTTTTTGACCCTGATAGTTAGATGTAACATAAAAGAAGTTACAGTAAATTGTCCATTTAGTTTGACTTGTTCAAAAAGTTGGTGTATTCAACAAAAATTACCAATTGATACAGTATCAGGACTCTTTGTTGATGGCTCAATAATAGAACTATTTAAATTTTTATTCTAAAACTAGATACATCTTAACAATGGGACTGAATATCTAGTTTTATCAATAGTCAAAGGTTTTTTACAGGCCTACCTTTATCATAGCCTTAAGCAAGGTGTACCGCTGGAACACATTGCGGGTGTTCTTGCTCTCTGTGTACTTAGCCATGAGGGTGACCAGTGCCTTCTTGGCTGTGTCGTAGGACTCCTCCAGTCTCACTCTGACAGCTCTCAGCCTCTCATTGGTCTCCATCACCTCCTCCTTCGTCTGCCCACCTGTGTATAGACATGTATTAGAAACCACCATACACCTTGTCCGCTTATGAAACATCTGGTACCGCCAGCTATAAGCCTACTGTCCACCATGTCCCAAAGTACGGTGGCGGCACAATAAGTTCACATGTACCCCATGTGCAACCACACAATGGTATCAATGAGCTTCTCAGTCAGAATCTTGATCTCGGTTGTGCTTAAAGTGAGCAATAGAGTATGGTCTGACATCCATGTGTTGATAGTATGCATGACCCGGTTCAGTTTCAAGTGGGCCAGCTCAACTTTAGGTGCAGCTTTCAAAGCCACAACATCATTGGCGTACCTAACTAAAACGGTTTCCTCAAACCTCAAGAAACTGCCGTAGGCAGTGTGACCTTTCTGTAAGAGAAGAGCAGGTCTGGGTGTCCCTTCCTGTCGAGCACAACCTTAGCTGTTTTCCAGCACAAGGGATGAACCACCCCCTCAGCCAGGTTTTTAACATCAGCCTGTCAGTGTCACTGGCGGTGGTGGTCCTCATTGTGGCACCCCATCAGGTCTAGGAGTCTTGTTGTCTCTGTTCAAACCCCACCTCCTCAATTGTCTGACCATCTACTCGTACTTACCGACAGAGAACAAAAAGTGCCTTAGACAACTATTGCGTTGCTCTCATCTATAAATTTTTTTAAAACTTTTTTAACAGCATCCCTCTGCCTACATGTTTTTTGGTACAGTAGTTACAAAACAAAATCTACTGTAAAATTATTTCTAAATTACAAAACACGTATTGTTATGGAGGGTTCAAAATAATATAAGCTTATTCTTCTTAACACCATTTGGGCTTTTCTTGCAGAGTCAGGCTCAGCTATTGCCCAATCGCACCCCTACAGTCAAGCAGCATGCCTCAATACGGTGCCTGAGATACGGTAGAGAATTTGTAAATAGACAGAGACAAGAATATATTCAGAAAAAAAATTGTAATTGCAAATTATTTTAAGAAACAAGATAGTGAATTAAATGCTCTATATTCCATGGTAAAATAATTTTCTTTTAATAGAGTAATTCTTTGTACTCACTGGCAGTGCCTTCGTCCTTGACATCCTGGACGATCCTGCGAACACTCTGGGTGAACTTGCCCACCAGGTTGGTGCCCGCTGCAACAAACACGCAACTTGTAATTTTTTTATTTTGAAAGATTTGACATAGTTGATCATTTTTACCTTTTACGTTTCAATGTAAGACCGATCCAAACCTTTTTACAATATAAACAAATAGCAGTTAAATTTTGTGACAAATGAGGAAATTGCTTAGCTAAGACCTAAGTTAGTATTTTTATAGAAACTATTTTCTTCAGTCAATTATTTCATACAACTTCTGCTTTCATGGGATTTTTAAAAATATATCTAATATCTGTTGTTTTCCTTAAAGATGAACCGAAACACATAATTTACTCTATAAAAATCATTGTAATAGGCCTATGGTGGTAGGTAGCCTACTATGTTTAACATGTCCAGTATAATAGTATCAATTATCACTCGGATAATTGTTTTCCGATATATGTTAGAATAGTCATTACTGTAACCTGGCATATTGCATTACTCTTACAAGATATGTTTGCTTATCTTATATATTAAAACTTGACAACAGGGTTTTTTATTTAACGATTCTGAGTTAACCACTTGACGAATTTTAATGATTTTTGTGTTGAAAGAAAGATAATTTTGAAAACTAGGGAATGTCGAAGCCATAATTTTAGTTTATGGTTTCAGTTTTTCAGAAAATAAGTTTAAAATTTTAGAAAGTCTAGCAGCCGACGCTAACATTCTAAGATTAGCTTTTGGTATAAAACCATTTGCCATTTGCGTAACAGCTGTAAACATTCAGAGTTTGTGACAAAAATTCAGCATTTGGATGAAAATTAAATGACATACGTAGGGTTGACTTATTTATACTATATGTGTAATGCTATAATCATTGATACGTTCTTGAATATACAAATATTCTATAAAACTATGAGGTTAGTTTATTTACTCTGTGATTTTCTCATTGATTATAGGAATTAAATAAGGCTCTATAACCATTACTGTATACGAATCGAAGCTCACGAGTCTTCAAAAGAAAGTTTATGAAAATTATTTTACTACTCGACTTTTTGCGGAAAGGTTGGGAAAATAACAACGATCACATATTTTAATACATCTTGGCAGTTATTTCTTAACAATAAATTATGACTGATTAAACTAAGCTTGAATTATGAATAGACATATTCATATAACTATATAAAGTTTGAATGGACTATTCGATTCCGTACGTAGGGACGGGCCAACAGCTTGTATCACTAAATGAGTGTCAAGCCTGGGAGAGACTATATCTGTTGATATATTCAGGGGTGTATCCAGGGGGAAGGTTTAGCAGTTTGAACCTCCTTAACCTTAAAACGTGTTTTTACAATTAAAATTTGTTCCCTACAATTCAAATATATCTTTTATATGTCTCTAAATAGCCTAAAAACAGGTCTAATTTTCACAAATTTCCCGAATCCCCTCCTTAGGATCCTCCTCATAAACCTATGGCATATTTGTTTGTGAACAGTTAAACCCGTGTGTATACGTAAGGTATTATCTATCTGTTATAAAACTCCTAGTAATCCTGTTGCTTAGGTTTATTTTTAAGAATTTACCATATAGGGAATAAGCTATTACCGTAGGTCTCATACCAACCTAGTTTTGTACCTAGTTTTGTCTTGACTTTGCAAATTATCTACCCAGGACTATGATTTACTTATTCATTTTGATTTCGCTGGCCAAAACCACCATCCGCTCAATTCAGCTCAAATATATAGGGCCTAGGCCTTCTAATGTAGATCTACTTTTTTATTTTCTACAGATCCAAAAATCCAACCAGTTTAATTCTATGAATAATTAGTTTTTTAAATGCTGAAAGTGAAATCACACCTGGAAACTTAATTTTAAACCTTCCCTTCCAATGATTCACTTTTAAAGTACAACACATTTCAAACACACTTCTTTATGCATGTGAAAGCATCGTAATTGTGTTGGGGCTATATTAATGAGTCGCATTTAACCAAGGCCCACTAGAAAAAACAGGCCATAATGCTGCAGCGCGGGCAGCACAAGCACAACGCTCCGTCACAGTGGTGGATAGTTGTACTAAAGTTGCCAGACGTAAATATAAAACAAATAACCAGCTTATTTACATAAAACATAATGCAGTTTGACAGTGAATCTATCCACAAGATGACGCCATGGATCCTGCAGCATGGCGTGTTTTTCTAGAGGAGCCTCGATTAAACACTACATTTAGATAACCATGCAAGAAATGCATATAGCAGCTGATTGGCAGTGAAGTAAAGAAAACAAAGCCAAACAAGAATATCTGTTTCAACGTATGAGCTTTTTTACGTTAAAAGGTATCTTAACGGTACTTACAATTTTTGGGTTGTTTTTGAAAAAGAAACACCCTGTATATATGTGTCCTGTTAAAGTGATAACTTGGGTAAAAATTATCTGATTTTGAGTAATGAGAAAACCATTTTTTAAAAAATCTAGTTTTTCAAAAAAAATATACCTGGAGACAGCATTATTAAAGTGTTATTATTAAGTTATTATATGTGTTATTTAAGTTATTAAAGTTATTATAAAGTGTTAATTAGTAGTCACATAAAAAATGCCATCAAAATCAGACCACGGGTATGGTTTGTACTAGTAGGTCTGTACACATCCACACATACACACACAGAGATAGCGGGATAGAGAGAGGGAGAGAGAGAGAGATAGAGAGAGAGAGAGAGAGAGAGAGAGAGAGAGAGAGAGAGGGAGAGAGAGAGGGAGAGAGAGAGAGACAGACATTTCATGCAAAAGTAAACTATTTGAAAGTATAGATTCAAACAGGAAGACTCAGACCAATAACTCAATGTGTTTACCATGTCTGAGAAACTGGAAAATGGAGATTGGTTAGACAATTTTCAAACATTTTACTCAAATTAAACTACCTAATATAGAAATTTAGGTACACAAAAAATTTTTGTATATTTAGTGCATATTGCTCTTTATAGCTGTCCGTGTCTACTCTTAAATAAGCTAGTTAGCTTGTGCAAGACACTTCCCTTGTCTGATTGCATGAATTTATGTATACAGACACATTAACATTCAGTTTTCCATCACCACTGTAAAGTACTTCCTAAATTGTTGAGATAAGGTAGAACAAACTACAGAGTGTTTATTTTTACTCAACCCAAATCAAATAGTTACTAGTGTACCTGTTGCTCGAATTCGAGCAATTGCAAAGTATTACGTACAGGCGTTATTTTAAAACGAATAACAGTCATAATTTCCAATGACTTTAAAAGAGTCGATTCAAAGATTATGGAAATACTCACGATGTAGGCCTACATAACAGTTCGATATAATCAACATTTCTTGTAAATATCTTACCATTTTTCAAAAGCTGATCTTGTTTTTAGTGTTTTTTACAATTGTTTCCCATCCATAGCCGCAGCATACGTCCCAACGGGTATTCTTCTGCACAAAAAACTATATATTTTTTTAACCATTCTCTGAGAGTTTTTGTTCTCGTGATTTATTAATATGTTATTGTTGTTTATGAAATGTTATTTATTATTATTTATAAGTTGTTATCTTGTCTTAGTTAATATTATGTAAATTGTGTGTTGTGTGTACCTACCAAGAAGCCTGCATGGACTTTCTAAAATGGACTTAAAATTTAATTCTGCATTGTAATTGGGCTCTATGTGCCTGTAATGTAGTACTGTCATTTATATAAATAAATAAATAATAAATAAAATATTAACATTAATTAAACTATCCAGCAATTTCTCATTTTGTACTGATCACATTTTACTCAGAATATAATTTTTATGTTCCCTGTAGCAGCAAACATACTTACTAATCAAATATAGCTCTAATTTAAAAGTGTACAAATCTTACTTTTTTAAGGATATATTTAAGAGTGAATCAAATCAGGCAAATTGGAATTCGATTAGTCTGCAGGTTTGCCGTAGGGGGAGTTATTATAATACATGAATTGGTTGGGTTTAGAAACATTGTTGTGATGGTTTTATAATCATTGTTTTTGTTATGGAATCTTTAGTCTAAAGTAAAACTTATGGAAGACAGACTTAAAACTCATTGGGCTAACTTCAAAGGTTTTGAAAAACAAAACAAAGTTTTTTAACAAAATGTAATTATTAGTTGTAAAATCTAGAAGGGGCTCCAGCCACAAAGTACATCCTTATTAGGATCAGGCATTGGGTTTCCCAACTATTTATTGCGTAATCAAAAACCATTCACAAGATCCAAGACCAAATAATAATCAAGTTTTTAGTTTTAGAAAGAAAAACTGAGTGAGTAGAGGGACACATTTTCTTTTTGCGGCATCTAAGTGGCTTATTAAATCAGAAGGTTACCGACAAGCAAGCTTTGGCCTCCTCCCTTCTTAAGTAGCTTATGAGATGTGGTATAATTCAGAGTGGAAGCTACTTATATTATAATGAGGTATTTTCAAACGAATCATGCAAACTTATGGAGAAATAAGGTTAGGTGTGGGAGAAATGTTAATATTCATGTACATTATTGTAAAATAATCTATTTTTATAAAGTAATTATCCGCTATGCCTGTGCTTTGCAACTGGGTCAGGTTGCGGAGGAGACAATGTTGGTTGTTTGAGAGTGCCGTATAAAGGTTTCACATCCACAACCCATTTAATTTATAAACTAAATTTGGTAAAAATGTATCAATTAATATTTTCACTACCCTTAGCTTATGAAACATAGTCTTATGGTTAATTTATTACTACACAAATCATTAATGTACGAGGCTTGTTCAGAAAGTATACCGCCGGCACAGTGCTAACAACGATGTTACGCGCATGAGCACTAGTCTCCTTGGTTCATTGTTGAACAGCTGACGCAATTAGAGCAACATTTTGTTGTGTTTACATTAGTTAGTGTGCACTCAAAATGTTTGAAACAAATTCTGATCCCGCGGACTGTTAAGTGCGTTCTGTAATACGATTTTTTAACGCAAGGAACATGAAGCCTGCTGAAATTCATCGCCGACTTACAGAAGTTTATGGAGAAAAAGTTATCAGTGATGGATTGGTAAGAAAACGGAT